ACCTAACACCTTTCTTGAATGAGAATAGCTTCTCTTTAACCTTTTCAAATTTTGACCCGCAACTCATGCTCGTAGCCATTTAGTCTTCCAAAATTTACCACTTTAAGGGTACACTCAAAACAATCAGACACGACAGCTCTTCATCAAATTAAAGATAGTTATAACTAACGACTTGCTAATTAGTATTTTAAACATATTTTTATATAAAAGCATTAAAAACTAAAATGAGTCTATATTTAATAATACTTTTAATATTTTTTAAAAGTAACTAATTAAAAGTATTATTTAGAATTAATCTTAAAATTTATACCATTTTTTTTAATGTATACATAGTGACATAAGATATAAACCTATGTAAAATAGGAATGACAATTGGTTGAGTCTCGGTGGGTTAAATATATGTCTTTGTATCTGAATTTTAAAAAATTATTTGTAGCTGTCTTGTACAGTAGTAATTTTGATTGTCATCACCATTCTTGTTGGGTACTTAAATTTTCATACTAAAAAATATAGTTTCTCCAATATTTGAAGGGAAAAAAGTTTACTTTACTCTTTTACTTTTGGTGTCATACAATTCAAACATTAAAATTTTAAATTGTGAAACATTATGTACATATTATTAGATAAAATATTTAATTTTACTATTAATTTTTATATGTTTCTTGTGTGTATATATTATTAGATAAAAATATCTTACTTTTAAATTTAACTTTGATACAAACCAAACTAGTCACTAGATAAAGCTGCATGTATGTATCTCCGTCATACTCTCTTTCTCTCTCACTGTGCCATTCTGAGCAACTTTGCCGAAACCTTTTCCTATCCTGTCTTCTTCTTATTTTATCTTTGTTGGTCTTTGTTCAAAAATTAAGGATTAAAAAATTAGATTTAAAATAAAAATATTTTTGTCTCATGACAAACATGCAAGTGACATTAGATGTTTTGGTAAAAAAAATTTACATCGTTTAATAACTATACACAATTTAAAAACTTAATATTTAAATTGTACATGACAAGAAAATATAAATGATAAAATATTTTTTTATTTTTATAAACTAATAAAAATTAAATATTATTAATTATAAAAAATAATATTGTTTAAAATATATTTTATATAAAATCAAATAAACTGCAACAAAAATAATAAATTATAATATAATATATGTATGAAGTTATTAATTTTCTTTTAAATGATCATTGAAATTAATAAATAATAATTCTACATGTTAAGTTTGAACTAAAATATCAATTTTTTGCATCGTTTGTTTATTAAAATAAGTTATTAAATTAACCCATTCTTTAAAACTCTATTTTGCATTAATCATGAAACATTTATATTTTGACGTTGATGAATTTTAAAAGATTTTTATGCATCACTTAGAAATGACTTAGATCCCTGAAATTTTGCTGAATGGAATGCCCTTACCAATTTAAAAATGCAATTTCAAACATATTTTTCAGTGAATAGACTAACGTAAGACCAAAAACAAATGTTAATGAACTAAAACTTTAAAGAAATCGAAGACGAATTTAAATCTAAAATAAAATAAGAAGAGAATTTTCTAATTTTGGCTAGACATGATTGAAAAAGAGGTACTAATAAGAGTACTATTTTTGCAATGGCAAAATATCTGCTGACAATAAAGTATGCGTTAACTTCTCTGAGAAGGCAATGAATGGAAAATGCCACATCCTCCTTCCATTTAGCCCCATTTCCGAACAAATTATTAAAATACACAGTATTCAAATTATTAATTTACGAATATTTATAATTAGTTTTTAATTTATTACCAATATAAAATTATCATTTAAAAGATTATATACATCATAGGGACTTAATCCAACCCTTTGCATCCTCGTTACCAAGAAAAACGTTGGTAATAAGCACTATTCTTGAATCTTGAAGCATTTGTCAATAGACCGTACATTGTAAGTTATTAGACGTATTTATTTTTTATTTAAAACTTTTTTATATATAAAAGGGTAAATTGAAGGAAAAATGATAAGAAGATATAATATTAAAATAAAGGAACAAAATTGTAATGGATTTAACCTCAAGGAGGGGACGTTGACTACAATAAAACAGAAATGATTATTAGTTAATTATTGATGAAACCTTCAAGCATTGGAGAACATGGGGTGAGACAGTTGTTTGTGAGTAAATGTTACGGTTCAGTACACTGACTACACCCAAATAATGTGACATATTGGAGCTAGAAGTAAATTAGACCACATATATATATGATAAAGTTATGAGCTGGAGGGAGATTCCGTGTGTGGAAATTGAGCTGTAATTGACACTCTCCCCTCTGTTTCCCTCTATTTCCCATCTATTCTTACTTCATAAATGATTTCACTCTCATTTCAAGCAAGACCCTATAAATATTTCAACTCTCCAACTTGTTTCCTCTCACATTTCTTTTTCATCTTCCTCTTTCCCATTCACCTATTACAAGCCATTCACTCCATGTGGGCTTGGAATTCATCACCATGTTCTGTTTGTGTGCCCCTTTTCTCTTCATTTTTCTCTTCAATTCATAGCTCAAATCTTCACTTCCAAACTCTAGGAAGAGCCACTCCCTCTTGTTTCTATTGGTTAGCCTTACATTAGAGAAACCTTTCAAATGTGTTCTTAAGACCCAACATCTTCTTTGTCACACAAATACAAAGGTTCATATCAATGCTTTTAGTCCCTATACACAAATAAAAGATTCATACGTTCCATTGTTTATTTTTTAAAAGTTGCTCTAGTTCATGTGATGGTCACTTGCATAATGTTTAGTCATTTCTTTTAGATGGTCATCACATGAACTAATTGAAGGGTGGAAGATAAAATTTAAAGTGAAAAGTATACAGCTTTTTATTTTTTGTGGCGAAGGAGATGTTTGAGTGTTGAGAATACATTTGAAAGGTTTCTTCTATGTAAGGCCAATCCATGGAATGAGGAGGGAGCAGCGACTCATGGTGTTTGAAGGGAAGGATTCAAGCTGGTACTTGAACAGAACAATGAAGAGAAAAGAAGCAAACAAGCAAAACATGGTTCTTAGTTCCATTTCAATATTTAGTGTGAGTGACTCGTAATAGGTAAATAGGGAAGAAGAAAAAATGGTGATCAATAAAGTAAAGCCATAAAAAACTTCACAAGTGGAGCAGCAAAAAGCGTCACCTTCTGAATGCAGGAAGATTCATAGAGGAGTATTTGGCAAAGGGTAGTAATCAGCTCAAATATCTTCCTTTTCATGACATTTTTCATCATTTATTACTGACATAATATTTTGGTTTTTCTGTCTCCTATTTTTGTGATCATAAAAGAAATTTCATCATGTCTAGTCTATTTCATATTTTGTGGTCAAATATCTTCTGCTTGATGTAGTCTTTGCCAATATGATCATATTTTGCACGCCTTGCCTCCCTCTACTGGATACCAGGTGAAGGTGGAAGTAGTTATAAAAATACTTAAACTCTCAGGTTAATGTATAATATATGTAAAGAAATTTGGGATGCTGGTGAATCACAACCTTGATATTGCGTAGGAGGTGTGAACTGTGAAGTGATGGTCAATGATCACTGCTCTTAGGACTTGACTGATGATTTATTGGGCCGTTGAAGGTAACATGGTCCAATAAAATATTTTGTACACTCAAGGCAATATTTGGCTAAGATGTTGAATTGGGCCTTAGTTGTGAAGACCAGGAAGTGTCATGTAAACGTTAAGAGATCACACAGAATCATGTATAGTTAACCTGCAGTTTTGTAAGACTAGTAGAAGAAAAATTGTTGTCACAGATCAATTCCATCAATTATGTACTACTTTTTCATTATTTTGCAGATTGTTATTTGAGTTGGCCACTTTGTTCTAATTAAAATGCTTCCCTGATCCCTATCATTTCTTTCTCCAAATTCAGGCCTAATAAATTCCGTCCCAGCATGACAAAACAAACAAACAAACTTACTTCAGTCACTGAAAGGAATTAAGAAAAGTGAAAATCATACAGAAAAATAATTTAGCATAATCTGTATAAAATGTGGAGTAAATTAGTTAATTAAAGCACTGTATAACACGAGTTTAGCTAATTTGGCATTCTATTATTGAAATATATTTAGAAATGATGAAACTTATATTTCAAGAGCACTTTTGTGCCGTCTACATCTTAACTTGTTCTTCTGCCAACTAGTACAGAAGCAATATTTAAAAATGAACAAGTATGAATATTGGTAGGGGGCATGAAGAAAACACAATTTAAGTTGACGATTCTTTCGAAGTTATTTTTCTCATATTTTGCAGTTCATAATTAGTTTATACATTGTTGTGACGTTTGAATTTCATGCCAAATATTTTCCTTACAATTTACACCTGCATGGCAGAAGAATGCGTGCCTTTTATAAAAACTCATGATCAAACCTCCCTTCCCAAATAACTCCTAAAAGAAACTAACAAAAATAATAATATCTTATATTAAGTTATTCTTAAAAAATTATAAAATCAAGGTGACTGAACTAGTTCATGTTGAAAAAAAAAAGGCAAAATATCGACTATTCAAGGCCGGGTTTCAACTGTCGAGAGATGAAGAAGAGCAGGCTTACAATCAGGGGCACCCTAAATAGGCCACCCTATTAAATAAAAGCATATTTAAAAAACTTTAAAAGAGTGCTTTAAAAAAGAAAGAAAGAAAATGGCTTTTTATACAGGAAGTTGTATCATACATAGTGCATGGATATGTGAGTATTGCTCTCCTCAACTTTCTCCATGGTTATGATGAAATCTAGATTAGGTGTTGTTAAAAATGGATGCACTTAGTGTAGTCGAATACTAAGTACCGGCACTTTCCAATTATATAAATCAAGTGTAGTTTGATCTAAGTTATTGAATGTAGATCAAACAGCACGCATTCTCTGACTGCACCAATAGCATCCTTTATCAACTACACTAAATCCAAATTTGTAATGATGGAGTTGCACATAAAAGAGACTCAAGTCAAATGCATTATGGAGTTGTGACTTCAGGAACTGTTGACATCAGAAAACTCTATCATGGCAAAGTCGGAACACTTTGGAAATGAGAGTATCCGATCCTTAACTTTCTCCAGGTCAATATCTGAATATCTCAACCAAAAAGCTGTATATATAGTCATTTGTTCCAACACTGCTGCCTTTGCTATCACAAATTTTGCCAGAAGAAGCTCATTCTCATGCACATTAAATCCTTTAAACTGAAAAACTTTGAGGCTAGACACAAAGCACTGAGGCACTGATGCAGAAGTCAACGAATCTTTATTTAATTCAGATACACCCTGAAAAATTTTAGTAAAATGAATCACACAACACTTACATTATACATCTAAGAGACACATAAACAACCACTTTAAATTTTTGTGAACCAAAAGCAAGAGTTCAAAACTTACATTTTGTAAAATAAGAGTATTCAGAATTGGAGAATTGTGGAGTAAGTTCAGCAGAGCTTCACCAGTAACCTCGTTTAATTGCAGATAAGTCAACCTTCCAAAAAATGGAAGATGAGTGAAAACATCTTTAGCATGCACTAAAACCTGTTTGACGAGAAAAAACTTGTTCAAATTCCTATTCATAAATTTTCGTTTTAAAGAAAGAATGCCAGAGCCTAGTGAAATAAAGCTTGGTTGTTGTTGAAAGAATGCCAGAGCTAAGAAAAGGTATGAAGGATATTTATCCCTGACTGGTATATGAAGCATTGAGGTTAAATTTTATGCCAATATTTTCACAAAGGAAAAGCTTATTGGAGTTTTAGTTGTCTACCTCAAAAATAAATAAATAAATTAGATGTCCTAAAAAATCATGGCAGGATTGTTATGAACAGAAAGGCCAACCACTTACTTGACATTTAACAATCAGTGTATTTTGTGTCATAAATGTTCAAAATGGGAATGTCTTAACACACCAAATATGTTTTTTTCACAACATAGCAGCTGAAATACATTTCCAGACAGGTTGACCTCATGAGACATTTTATGCAACCACTAGGAAATATACTATTCCACACATCTCTATGCAAAATTCTCATTCACATATCGTTAAATTCAAGCATACCTTGTAAAACAATAATTTCAAGCACTCTACTTCACGGATTTGTCTGAGAAGCCCATGTGCTTGAAACCCAAGATTTTCCATTCGGACCTTTTTGTCCTCATTAACAACAATAACAACAGATGCACTACGAATTGGTGGTGAATTTAATAGAATGATTTCTTGTGCAAGATCACCCTCATAAGAAAAATCTGTTAGATGGGTAGAGAAAATCTTGATGGAAGATTTATATGATTCATTTGATAGGGAGTTCCAAATTGCTATAGAAAACCTTTCAAGTAGTGGTGCTTGTATGGTAATATTCTGCTTAGTTGACCACTCACATCCTCTAGATTCAAACACTTTAAGAACTGGGAAACTAAGAAATAGATCTTCTGAATAAGTGGAGGATTCACTCTCTAACCAGATCCCAGAAATGCTAAGGTTTTGAAGATTTGGAAGACAAGCAAAGATAGGAACACTAAGAGTACATCTCATTTGAAGCACCAATTGTACTAGAGAGTTGCATCTAAAGAGGGAATGGGAAGAGATTAGGACCTTATCAGCATACTGAATGTGAAGCTTCTGGACACCCCTTTTCAAGATAGAGGAGATCCATGCACTAATCTGAGATGAATCATAATGATAACATGTTAAACAAAGAGAGAAGCTTTGGATGCTTGAATTAGCAAGGTGAAGAAGCACTTTGTTCACAAAATACACATATTGTTCCTTTTGCATCTTCTTCCCAGAACAAAGCAAACTATCATTAAACCTTAGACTGGTGATGGATTTCCAAGCATGAATCCACCTTGTTGATAACACACTAGTATGGATAGCCTCCATAGTTGGAAGGAAAGACAGGACGTGACCAAGAATGCTTTCATGGAGGTTGCTAATTATGTCTTCTTCTCCTACCACTGTTTCCCCTGTAGTAAACTGTTTAGTTGTATCATCCATAGTTGCTGCACTTGAATCCATGACAACAAATCACCTGGTACATGATTTGTGACAATGTTAAATTATTAACTAGGAATAAAACAAATCTATATTATATCCTAAGCATGCAAGTGCAACACTTTATGGGGAGACTATAAAAAAACTATGCAAGGTGAATATGTATGAAAGATAAATGCCTGAGAGAGAGCTTTGAAGTTTCTGGGTTGATAAATTTGGCAATACAGCTCCTACGTGATTTACTAGCTACATGCCTACATCAACTAACCACATCAATATAGTTTAAAGAAATAAAGTAGTGTGAACCTTCCTCTTAAAATTTACCTCAGCAAGTCAAGCAAATTGCCTTGGATAAAGCCTTAAAGATCTAATGAATGAAAATCGAGTTTTCGAGCACATCAATTAATTGGATGCATTCGGGTTATATTTATATAATGAGTTAGAAACAGCATGAGCGAGAAAAGGAAAATGATTAGATGGTCCAAGACCACCATATGTTCATGATATCAGCCATTTATCATGTAATATATGGTAAAGTTTTTTAATTCAGAATATGAAACTATTAAATTTTAGCCATGTGTCGCACGATGATTGATTAAGATCATGGACATGGAGATTAGGAAAAAAAAAAAAAAGATACGACTTCCATTTGATATAAATTTAAGTCCCACCTGCTTATTGCAATTTTAAAATAACAATGAATAATTAAAAAAGACCTGAACAATGCAATTGAAAGAATAGTATACAATGGGAAGCACATGAATAAGGAAACAGGGCTATTTGTTTAATACACAATAATTTTAAGGATGTATAAAATAATTATTTTTAAAGGTTTAATAAAAATTAAATTTTATTTTTGTTAAATTATGCGAATTATATCTTTTTAATAAACGTTTATTTTTACTTTCTTGATTAGTACCTTAAGACATTGGTCGGCACTTCTCTTTTTTATTTGATTACAATAATATTTTTCTTTCAAAAAGTAGTCATAATTATTAAATTTTAAAATGATTCAAATAAACTTTTGAAATATTCAAAATAGAAATATTTTTCATAAAAAAACTGAGAAAAAAGAAAGAAACTCTCATGGAAAGGCTTTTATATTTTATTGCATTTATTGAGAAGTGTGAAGATTGCAGAGATGTTCATTTGCATCGAGTTATATAAAAAGTTGGAGGTGGGACCGTGAGAACCATGTGACGGCATTGAGGTAGGGAGCACGTTACGGAAACGAGAAACACCGTAAGCTATTGTACCAGTAACACACTAATTTTAGATAGTTTTAATTTAATAGTTAAATTACTAGTTAAGAAATAAAATAAAAAGCAAGTGGCAGAAATTATGTGATAAATCAATCTCTATAATTATCAGTACTTATTTTAAAATTTTTAAGAGTATTGTGAAAGGGAAACATTTTTAAGAATTACTTTTTTATCATGTTAAATGTTTTTTACATTATATATTTATTTTTTAATTGATATTAAATTAATTTTTAAATTTTAAATTTATCTAATACAATATAATATTTATTATTAATAATTATAATATATATTTATTATATTTTAGAAAAAATATAATATATATTTAATTATTTATTGAAATAATTTGATTGAATGATACTCGTAAAACAGAAAAAAATTACTAATTATTATTATAATAAATTCATTTATTTCGTCTCTTCGTACCTTTGTATAATTTCAATTTTGTGAAAACAAAGATATTAAAATTTTATTTTAAAAATGTTTATTATGTTAAAGATATAAAAATATAACAAATAATTATTTTTAGTAAATTTTTATTACTAACATTTGTTTAAATTCAACTTAAAAAATTGAGATTAACTAAATTATTAAAATTGAAAAAACTTTCAAACTATAAAAAAAATAATTTAAAAATATTTAAAAAGTAAAAATGCATAATTTTTAATTAATTAATATAAAGTCTTATATATTAAATACATTTAATTTTTTTAAATATAACTAATAATTAATAATTATAATCATCATTAATCATTAATAATATAACTATTGAACGCATAAATCGGTTTGTTAGTTGTTTTAGTTTAAGCCCATTAGTTCGTTGTAAATTATATCACATTGTCTATTTCTTCTTCTTCTTCTTCTTCTTCTTCCTTTTTTTTTAATCTCTCTCCTATTTCCTTCCAGACAACTCAAAATTTACTATGCATTACACATTATACATTTTTTGTATGAAAATAAATTTGTCTACATTTTTATAAATTGAGAATAATTTATCTTCTCAAAATTAGTTAAGTTAATGAAAAAACTTCTAAAAAAATAATGAAATATAAGTTGATTTTATTTTATGAATAGAGTTTAATTTATTTTGTTAATTAATTTTTTATTCTTATAAATACTTATTAAAAAGTTTATTTAATATGGGCTTCCACTTATTACACTACAGCAAGTAAAAAGGATGCTTGGCTTATTAACAATTGTTCTCAGGTGAAAAGGGGCAATATGTGGATTAAGTAACTTGAATCATAAAACCCTTAAGTGAACCAATTTAAGAGGGTGTGAAGTGAAATGAAGTGCAGCAAGAGGGATTATCATTTAAGAGGGTGAACCTTTGGCAAAAGTGTTTTCCCCTGCCCCAAAAATTCAAATAATGTAAAGCAATCACCTCAACCGACAATTAATTGAAAGCTTCTTTCAACAACTTATTTCAGTGAAGAACTATGAACAAAAGAAGCAAGTAGTGAAGTCTTCTCTTTACAATTTCGTCTATGAATGTACAAGTCAGGTGCCATCATCATCCACATATTAATTAACTTAAAAAATGGGGGCGTGGATGATCGTGAGAGACATGTTTATTATTTCATATAATAATTTCAGTTGATGTAAGTTGAGCATAATCATTCCTTACACGTTGACTTATGGCACTATTTCTTCACAACCATGAAGATGGGTTGCTGGATAGCTTTGAAATAAAACTATTGTACTTAAAATGTCACCTTTTTTTTTCTATTGTCAAACTTAAAATGTCTCTGGAAGTTTGAACCAACTTGTCTTGTTCCATCTTCATCTTAAAAATCATGTGGCTATAGTCTATTTTGACACTCAAACCCATGGCATTATCAACGAAAAGGAAGCAAGTTTTCACACTCACCTACCCATTTTTTGTTTCCTTTCCTACCCTCTCTTTCTCCAGGCAAACCAAAACTTCTTAGTGATAAATCCCATGGAAGAGAATCTCCAGCAATAATAATAAGCATTGTGAGTTCGAATGTGCAGATATGACCTTTAGCATTAGTGATGACTAACTAAGAGCTGTGGAACTAGACTCTAATTTTAGCGAAGGTTACTGTGCCAAGTTCAATTATAGTAGTGGTTGAAAACATTGTGAGTGAAAAGGGAAAAGAATATCACCGATGATAATAATAATGATAATAAAAATAAACTAAATTAGTCTATGAGATTGTAATGACATCATTTTAGTCCTTAAAATAGCATCACACATGTACATGTTACGGTTAATTGACATTAAAAATCCAATTGTTCAATAGAATGTTATATCAAAGATTAAAAGGACAATTTTAAAAAGTAAAGAACTAACATCTCTATACATGTTATCTCAAAAACTAATTTGTGAGTTTCTCTTCAAAACCATGGAGGTTGGGATTGGTGTTGGTGGAAAGCAATCCTGACATGATGAAAACATTATTTCTGTGGGCTTGATTCACTTTTGAGTCACAATGTCTCTTCCTCCATTCCTCATCCAATACATCTCATACCTAGAAAGCCCCCTTTCCCCTCATCTTTCTATAAAAACAAAAATTCTTAAAAGAAAAAGCTTATCTAAATACACCTTATTTTTATTTTTTACAATGTTTTGGTGAAGTAAAACACACAAGATCCCCCAGATATTACTATAATTTAACAGTGGGGCTTAGGAAGCGTTGACTTCAGAAAATTCTATCATGGCAAAGTTGGAACACTTTGGAAATGAGAGTATCTGATCCTTAACTTTCTCCAGGTCAATATCTGAATATCTCAACCAAAAAGCTGTATATATAGTCATTTGTTCCAACACTGCTGCATTTGCTATCACAAATTTTGCCAGAAGAAGCTCATTCTCGTGCACATTAAATCCTTTAAACTGAAAAACTTTGAGGCTAGACACAAAGCACTGAGGCACTGATGCAGAAGTCAACACATCTTTGTTTAATTCAGATACTCCCTGAAAATAATTGAGTACAATGAGTGATTCATCACTTGTTATATATCTAATAGACACTTAAACAAATACTTTGAATTTCTGTGAACCAAAAGCAAGAGTTCAACACTTACATTCTGTAAAACAAGAGTATTAAGAATTGGGGAATTGTGGAGTATGTTCATTAGAGCTTCACCAGTAACCTCGTTAAGTTGCAGATAAGTCAACCTCCCAAAAGCAGGTACATGGGTGAAAATATCTTTAGCATGCAACAAAGCCTGATTGACAAAGAAAAACTTGTTCAATTTTTTCAAAGTCAAAATTTTCTTGCTTTTTGGATGCAATATAGCCAGAGCTACTAAAGGTACGATTAGAACTTGGTAGGATCTTACCAAGAAAAATGTTCAATGTTGTGTCCTACAACGTTTCTTTTTGGCAATATTCTATAATACTTTGTAAAGGAACTATTAAACAAAAACATAACTGTATTTAATATCTTTAAAATATCAAAATATTTAACACTTGTTGTATTTAATAAGTAAAAACTATTATAAGAAAATTTAGATTATTCTTCTATCAATAATTTTCACAAGTGAAAAACTTAAACAGATAATTAGTTGTCCTAAATAAGAGGGCAGAGTTGTTGTTCATAATGAAACACAGACCCACCGCCTAAACTATCCCTACTTTTGACAAACCCATCTTTATACATTTTTATATTTGACAGTTTACACAACAGTTTATATTCTATTAAAAATATTCAAAAGACAAAATCTAACAATCCAAATATATATATATATATATATATATATATATATATATATAGCAAAGTGGATGCCGGTTTCTGCAGTTGAAGAGCATTTCTAGACACGTATGGCTTTTGTATTATAAACCATGTTATGCAACCACCGGCAAATAACTATTTCACTCATCTCTTTGCAAAATTCCCTTTAACGTATCACAAGAAGAAAGCATACCTTGTAAAACAATAATTTCAATCGCTCCACTTCACGGATTTGTATAAGAAGATTGTGTACTTGAATCCCAAGTTTTTCCATTTTGCCCATTTTGTCGTCATCAACAACAATCAGAACAGAAGCACTGCAAATTGATGATGAATTCAATAGAATGATATCTTGCTCAAGATCACCCTCATAAGAGAAATCTGTTAAATGGGGAGCAAAAATCTTGATGGCAGATTTACATGATTCTTTTGATATTGAGTTCCAAATAGCTATGGAAAACCTTTCAAGCAGAGGTGCGTGTATGCTAATGTTCTGCTTTGTTACCCACTCACATCCTCTAGATTCAAACACTTTGAGAACTGGGAAACTAAGAATTAGATCTTCTGAATAATTGGAGGGTTCACTCACTAACCTAATCCCAGAAATGTTAAGATTTTGAATATTTGGAAGACAAGCAAAGATAGGAACACTAAGATTACATCTCATTTGAAGCACCAATTGTACTAAAGAGTTGCATCTAAAGAGGGAATGGGAAGAGATTAGGACCTCATCAGGATACTGAATATGAAGCTTCTGGACACCCCTTTTCAAGATAGTGGAGATCCATGCACTAATCTGAGATGAATCATAATGATAACATGTTAAACAAAGAGTGAAACTTTTGATACTTGAATTGGCAAGGTGAAGAAGCACACTCTCCACAAAATACACAAACTGTTCTTTTTGCATCTTCTTCCCAAAACAAAGCAAACTATCATTAAATTGTAGACCAGTGATGGATTTCCAAACATGAATCCACCTTGTTGATAACACACTAGTGTGAACGGCTTCCATAGTTGGAAGGAAACACAGGATATGACCAAGAATGCTTTCATGTAACTTGCTAATTATGTCTTCCCCATCAACCCCGGCTTGCTTAGAAGAACATTTTGTGGTCGTGTAATTATTCTGAGTGGCAATACTTGAATCCATGACTTTGAACAGCTAGTCCACAATTTCTGAAGATGTCAAGTTTCACCAATAGTTAAAATATCAATGTTAAAAGGAAAATAAAACAGATCTATGTATAAATGTATCATAACTACAAGCGTGCACTGTTTAGGAGGAACATTAGTATATGTAAAAATATATGCATGACTGAACAGAACAGTTTCTGGATTGAGGTTGAGAAATGCTAATTGAGTAAATTTGCCCATTCTGATTTCTGGGTAATGCTCAGAATGTGTCAGAAACATAGTGCACAGTGAGGTGAGACATAACTGAGAAATTAATTATGCTGCATAGAAAACAGAACGAGAAAACTAAAACTTTTATTTCATATATATTTAATTTCCAGTAGCTAACTGAAAATTTGTTATTCAAAAAAAATAAATTAAGAATCGAATAGGAAGAAGAGTAGAATATGCAAATTGAAGCAGATGAAAAAGGAATTAAGACTCACCAAAATGAAGAAAAACTAGAGCATCACAGAAAGTATGGAGAAAAAATTAAAATTATAATAGAACACATCATTGAGGGTCTGAGTTCAGTTTCCAGCAACAGTGTTAGAACTTCAAGGGCATGCAGTTTAGATGAGTAACTTAATCTCCACCTATATATGCAGAGCTATGCTGTATATTACGAAACACGTAATGTTTAACAGGTTAAGTAATTAAATTAAGGAAAAAGAGATTAGTTAGTGTTTTACATTAATTAATTATGATTTGTGATTGGTTTTGTGTTTACAGTTTTAATTGAAATTATGGTTGGTTCTTCATAGTTTTTCTACTGCTTTCATCGAAAATTTTTCAATAAAAATTATAATTTTTTAATAATATTAATGTATTAAATTATGTTTTTTCAATAAAAATTTGTTATAAATAAATTTTTTTAACTTATGCAATTTTATATAAATTAAAAAATTCAATATATAGAGCTAAAGTTATTTAAAAAATAAACAAATGTTTAATTAATATTATCATGTATTTTAAATTAAATAAAAAATAAATATTTGTATGTGGACCCAAAATAGTTGCAAAATAAGGGAAACTCTCTTAATTTTTAACACGTCAAAACAGAAAATTTACAACTCTCTACGTTCGTACATATTGAAATGAATTGAATTATATTCCATTTATGATAAAAAAAAAGTATTATTTAAATATTATAAAAAATAATTTATCTTATATTATATTATATTATATAGTAGAGGTGAAGCCACGTCTACTAGAGTGGTGACAATCATTGTTTGCAGAGAGGTAGTTGGCATGGAAGTGGCCCCAAACGCTAAGGAGGTAGCTAGCACGCTAAATTAATGCCATGACTTTCCGGTGCCCTACACTTTCAACTTAACTATTTATTTTGTAAGCTTTTAATATACTTTTTTACACATTTGTTATTATTATTATTATTATTATTATTAGAAAGTGAAACTTATGAAAGTATGTGTCCCTTGTAGCTTAATAAATAAAAAACATTAGTCTCAATAAATTTATTTATATAAAATATAAAGAGTACATCTTCTAAGAGGGGCTTTTAATATAAAAATAAAATACGTAACTTTAGATTATATAACTATACATTATTTATTTTAATTATTATATTAATTATGCTATTTATTTTGATTACAAATATGATATTTAAGTTATAAAAAATAGGATTTTAAAATAAAATAATTATTAAAAATTTTAATTAAAAAATATTTTTGTCTTCAAATTTAAAAAATCATATATGATATATAATTATATCTTTATATCATTTTATATTTATCAAATAGTTTAACAACTCACTTATTGAAAGTGAGTTGGTTTGGGTTGAAAGGTGGTTCAGTCTGAATTTGGGTTTTGGGAATGACTGTGGGAAAGCAAAATTGAATATTCAAAGAGAAATGTTTGGTTTTTTGGTTTGGAGATTAATTTGAGTTGTTTTGCAATTTATGTATTTTGTTGTTTTTCTTTTTATTGTACTGGTTGTGTTTGTTTTTCTTAAATGCTACAAGTCTTTCTTTTTTTTGGATTTTTTGGGCCATTTTTTAGCTTCATTTTTTTTTTCTTACATCAAGCTCTGACTTGATATTAAAATTTAACTGTAAGTTCAATTCAAAGATTAAAATAATATAAATTTTAAATTTGGATAACTTATTTGTCTTAAAAATTTGAATGACAAATTATATTTATAGTTACCGCTAAAAAAAATAATCTCATTTATATATTTTTTTAATTGACACTTAACCCATCAATATAAACTTTTATTGTCTCACTTTCACATTAAGGTACAAGAATATCTCTTCTTTTCGGAGACAATGTTTCTGTTTTTCTTTCATAATATGTGTATTCTCTAGAGTAAAAAATCCCTTTAGCTACATTAGCTGATTGATCTACTCAATAAAAATTATTTTTATTATAAAAATGATTTTATTTTATATTTTAAAATAATAAATATTTTTTTATTTGATACTTACTCTAATAGTTAATAAATAATTACAAAAGAATATATTAAATTTGACACTCATAACCTACACACTAAAATAAATTTAGCATAATCATATTGCGTACAACCAACAAGCGTAAAGCGCACTTGCACTCTGTCATTCACAAAACTACATTCTCTAAATGATGTATTATTTTAAAATTATTTTTTTATTATTTAAATACAAGAATTATAATACTTATAAAATATATGTCTCTCTCTCTCTCTCTCACACTGCATTTCCAGTGAAGAGGTGTTGGTGTTGTTAGAATGTCTTGCAATGGACAGAAGAAGTAAAATAAAGCATAAGCTTGATGAAGTTGGCTGGAGTGTTCACTTCTGGTCTTTAATCTTTGTAATGCAGAGAAAATGAGAGTTATGGGAACAGTGAGTCAGCATTTCAGATGTTTGGTCTAAATTATTTTTATAGCAAAGAAACAAACTTTAACAGACATATTGATGATGATTATGAGTAATTGGGGCCATAACATGTGAAATTAAAGGAAGAATCTAAGTCATCCATTCCAAGTCGAAATCCATCTCTGAAAAAGAAAACCCACCAATATGAAAGAAAACCTCAACTAAAACAAAGTAATTATCCCCCACAGCTTGCATTAACCGATCAAGCACATCGTAGATCGACTAAAACGAGTTTTACATTTAGAGTTGTAGTAAGAGCAAAGCATTACATAATTCTTAAGAGTTTGATATATTTTGCTTCAAATAAAATTTATCAAGTTATTTATTTCTTGTTAATTGGAAGGGTGGATTTTAGCTAAAAGTTGAGCCTCAATGACGGCTTGATTAGCAGGATCGTTAATCCAACCATACCTTTCCTCGAAAATGGACGTTAGTGTGGTTGGTGAATAAGAATCTATGCAATCTTTCCACACATTAGCACTCTCCAAATCCCTCATGACCTCCCAAACACAATTGCAACACTTGAAACCAGATCCAAGGCCAATCATGAGGATTCTATCACCCTTTTTTAGCCTCTTTTTGGCCTCCATGTAGCTAAAAACATACCAAACCCCACTAGCAGATGTGTTACCCCATCTATGAATTGTCATTTTAGATGGCTCAATATCATAATCATTGAGCCTTAACCACTTTGCTACCTCCTCAACAACTGCCCTTCCACCAGGGTGCACACAAAAATGCTCTATTCCAGACTTCAACTCTAGACTCCCCAACATGTTGGACATAAGGGCCTTTTTCATTATGCATTTGCAAAGAAAAACACTAAAATACCACAAAATTTTCCAAAGTGGCAAAATCTTTGGCACCAATATTTTAAGGTTCATTTCTAAGGCTTCAGCAGCAGCCTTTGGGAGACTCCTTGCAAGGCCAAAGCCTGGGTACCCTTGCCCATCTTCCACTAACATAGCACAACCATACGCTTCATCCTTCGCCCCAAGATGGGTTCTTTCAACATGCTTCAACCTCATCATTGCAATTCGCTTTTGGGATGACATGTTTGTGAAAAGCATGGAACACCCACCTGAGCGAAAGAGACAATAAGGAAGCATCATGGACTTAACTTTTCCACAATACCAAGATTGACTCAAACACTCTGAACACACAACAACAGCATAAGAGTTTTTGTATGTCTTTAAAAGTCTTTGCACCAAATCAATGGCAATTCCACTTCCGCAGCACCCCATTCCACCAAGGTTGAAGGCCTTAATGTTGTCCCTCAATTTGTATCTATTTATGATGCGAGATGTGAGGGAAGGAACAGGTACAAAACTGGAAACACTTACCACAAGGATGTCTATTTTAGAGGGAGAAAATTTAGTGCTAGTGAAGAGGTTGTCAAGTGTGTCAAACATAATCTCATCCATTTCTTTGAGGGAATCTTCAACAGTGGCATCTGATTCTCTTCCCTCAATGATGTTTCTTGGGGCGTAAGTGTTTCCTCCAATCCCAGATTTTGTCATGCATTTGAGGAGGAACTTGAATTCCTCCAAACCCAAGCTCCTGTTTCTTAGGCAGATTTTCTCATATAAATCTATGTCGAGTTTGGTGTCTTCTGGAGGTTTGTAGCATTCATAGGCCAACATGTAACACGATTGGTCTCTACGTTTAAGGACCAATTTGAAAAGATAGAAAAACACATAGCATAAGGAAAGAAGGGATAAGAGCAAAATTTCCATGGCTAAGGAGGAGAACATTTGTCCTTGTTTTTAAGTGAAATATTAATCTCTATATATACACATACTAGCTTTTAATTTGATGGGTTGTGAAGATTTGCAAAGTGCAATGTTAGCTCCAATGTTGAAATCATAGTTTTGGAGTATATAATAAATAATTTCCAGATGCATACAGTTCTGGATTATTGGACTTTCGTCTCATAAAGGTGTTAAAAGGAACAACCTTGCCCACTTTTACAATTCCCCGATTGCACTTTGTCGTATAACTGCAATTTTCTATCTTATTTTTAACCTTGATATAAAAGTTTTTAACAGTGATGACATGAGCAAGTACTTGAGTAGATCGACAAGGCTTGTTTTGATAAAATGTTTTATCTTTTCATTTCTTATTTTAATAAATAATTGTAAAAATACTATAGTTACTTTATTTCTTAATTTAAACATTTATATAAGGAGTAGTTTTGAAAATACCAAAAGTATTTTTTTTCACTTACTAATTTTTTAAAATATAAAATAAAAACAAATGCTAATTTTGTTATTATTTAAAACAATTAATAAATAAAAATTAAAACGTTTTCTAAATTTAAATAGGTCCTAATTTGTACACATTTTCAATAAAGAATACAAGTTCCAAAATTTTCAAGAAAACCTCACTTATTTTGATTGGAAAATGATGTCTTTATGGAAAACGTTTGAGGTTCTAGGCTAAAAAATAAGGTCATATATATGTTTAAATGGATTCTTCGATGAACGATTGATCTCAATTATTTTATTTCATCCAACAACTACCCTTGAATTGGTTAACTTGAACAATGACGACTGACACCAACATAAAACTAGAGCCATTCTCCTGGTCATACAAATTTCAGGGCAATTTGCTGTGGGGAATTATGCAACTTTAATTAACAATCAAATATGTTCCTTTTTCATCAAAGAAGTAATCAAAACTTATGGTTCACTTAATAAGACAGAAATATTAATAAAACCCTTTATCTTTAATATTTTTTTATTATTAAGCAAATAATTTTAAAAATGTGTCGTTAATTAAGCAAGCATATATAATTTGAAAGTAACCCAATACTAAAGTAGCAAATTTGAAAAAATAAAATTAAATGAAGAGTACATAATTCACGCAAACCCAAAATTTGAAGAAATTAGAGCATTTTCAAAGAAATTTTTTTCTTCACAAAACTCAAGAACTAAATAAGTAAAATTTGCACAAACACACTCTGGATTTTGAAATTATTCTAATTATGCTGAAACTAACATGTGTATTGAAATGAAAATAAGCAAATAGTTTATTTTCTGTATTCATGCTAATATTATAATATTTTAAACCCAAAGAACTTGGTTCCTTCAATACACTTGCCACAATGAATAGTTACAAATCTCAATATATTGCATGGATTTAAAACATCAAACATTAAAATAGGTGAAAAGCAGAGTGATATAAACAAACAGGATAAATCAAATATATTAGATAGCTAGCTACCAAAATTAAGAAAACAATGATCATATTCTATGCTTTAAATAAACGTGGATCAGACAATTAATCCTTACACTTGCAGGAGTTATTTACCAAAAAAAAAAAAAAGCTAATTGTAAACCTGCTTCAAATTCCACTCAAACTTAACATTAAACCAAATGCAGAAATTACGCTCCATAATTAAAGCATTAAAGTTAATTACAGCAACGACTGTACCCCAAACCATACTAAAGCATTAATATATAACACTATGAGCCTAATTAGTTTACAATAATAGTGAATCTGTGTTAATGTAAAAAAATTTAGTTGAGATTAATTTTGATTCATATTTTAATTTTATTTAATGCTTAAAAGTTAATCCTATCAAAGTATAAAACAAATAGATGCATGTAACAATTTAAATACACCACGTTAGTGTAAACTTTTCCTTTTAGAACTTTATTGGTGGTTGATTAAGTAATGGAACATATTTTTTATATATGGGTTTTTTTTAATTAAAAAAATGAGATTTTTTTGCAAAATTATAAAAATATGATTTTTTTTTTAAAAAAAAATTATCATTAGCGACTTTTGATCAAAAATTGCCACCGATGACTTTTGATATATTTTTAAATATTTAATTATTTTTAAAAAAATTATCATTGACGATTTTTAATTTTTTTAATTTTTTTAATATTTTTTAAAATCGTTATTAGCGACTTTTAAAACTTTATCATTTGTTTGCTTTTTTATCTTTGAATTTCTATACTGCATCAAAAATCATCAATGATGATTTTTGAACTCCATATTCTCGTAATTTTGTAAAAAATCTCATATTTTTTGAATTTTGAAAAATAAAAATCATATAAAAAAAAAGTAGCCATTAAGTAATTGTATCTGTATTTCTTTAAATAAAAAAAAAGGGGATCAGACAAAAGAAGAAAGCAATGTTTCACGGGTATTGTTGTTCTTACATCCATGTAGTAGCTTGAAAGAGAAAGCACAGTGATGGTTAATTTTAACTTTGGATTCTCTCATAGTAACTTTTTTTGGTCAATTTTCTCATATACTTCATAAAATTAACATAACTGGGTTGTATTAATTCTCTTATACCAATGAACTATACTGGAAAGACTTTTACCTTGTGTTATATCCAAAGTGGAATTCAAGTGTTCGTAGTGAAAATGTATTTGGGCCCCATAGTGCACAATAGCCCAACTCCATAACAAATGTGGGTTGTGTACAATCAGACTGGGCCCATCTTTCTTTGCATATTCAGGTTCAGCCGTTAATTGTGTTCTGGCCCATTCTTTTCACACATCTTTTTATTATTATTATCATTCGTAATTAATGGTTTTTTATATATTAAATTCTAAAAAGATTTATAAATCACTGTTAAAATTTAATTTTATAAAAATATTAACACATTCTATAAATTTAATTATGGAAAGATGATCTTTAAATCACTTTCACAACTAAAACTCTAGAAGAATTTTTGAAATTAAAATTCTAAAAAAGAAAAAGTGTAACTATATATTTATGTTATTCTCACCATTTACGTGTTAATAGTCCATCTTAGAATTATCTATGTGCGAATAATCAGTTTCAGTCGCAAGTAATCCATGTAAACCACTCCACTCTGTGTACTATATATTCTAAAAGCCAATGATTATTCCGTATGGTTTAACTTTCATTGCTGATTTGATTTATTTATTCTTTTTTATATATTCTTGGTCTTAATGATTTGATTTCGTATCTGATTTTGTGAATCATTAATCAGATATTTTTTTATGTAGGAATACATGATTAAATGATAATATCATTACCTAAATGGCTATTGACTCAAATTCACTAGAAGTCATACTAAGAATTATTACTTTTAAAAAAATCTTCTACAAAGTTTTCATTCAGGACTACCGACAAGAATCTTCTGTAATCTTAGTTTCAAAATGTAGAAGCTTTTATTATATATTATTGAAATATGCAAGAAACTTCCTAATCAAAAGTACTAAGCTTGCGAAATTCTTGCAGGCTTATGCACCAATCATTTTCACTAGTGCTTATTTCTTCCTTTTCCAATAATGTTTATCTCGTTGGCCTAATAGTTCCCAACCTCCAAATTGAATGGAACAGGGACAGGTGGTGAAGAAAATATGGTGACAGCATAGCCATTCACATGATCATTGAATGTTACGGAACTTTAACCTGGTTTGTAGCACACCTACCTGCCTACTTTTCTCTTTTTGTCCTTTTCAACATAATCTTCTATACTTTAATAAAAGGGAACATTCCCATATTATAATTGAAGTTATATGGTAAGGGTGTGACAAAATCCGTTCACATTGGTGACGAAAAAATTTCACTGCCAGCTTTATAAAATGCGACTTAAGTGATGCCGTAAAAGTCCAAGTGTTTTCACATAGTAAACAGCCACAGAGACATTTTTGACAGGTTTTATCCACTCACCTACCTGTGCTTTCCACAGTTTCCATTAAAAACATGCTAAATGGGTAAGCATGTCACAATCTTTGGGACCGCAATAGTTTGTTTAGACATAAAAGAGCAGATTATGATGGCTAGACGATAAAGGTAGGCCATATTCATTTCAAACTTCATTAGCACTATCATAAGTACCCTTTTTTTTTTTTTCAAGTTGCTTGTACAACTTCTACTTTTCCTCTTATCATCATCTTCAGTGATATTTCTTTCTTGATCTTAAATTTAGGCACCAACATTCAAGGATGTAACTTGGCTGAAGAATGAGACAATAGTTTTCAACTTTCCATGCTCTCTTCTTTGCACTGACTCAAGTTAGACAATAGTTAAAACGAGATGATTTGAGAATTTGAATGCATGAGAGCAATGTTAAAAGTGAAGTTCTGAACTGTTACAGTGAACAAGTTTGCAAAACTGTCCATCCCAGTGTGTGAAGATGGCATCTACATTCATTTTCAGAACACAGAAGAGTTCATGGTCACAGAAACTGGAGATTTAAAGTGACTTCTCAGAAATCAGAATATTACAAAATACTACAAAGAATTAATGTGAGATTTCGTCCTTTCTTTATATGTGTTTTGTTTCATTTAAGAAAAAAAATGCTAGTTCTGCACATTTAGTGCAGCAATCTTTCAACTTGCCCTCATATTCCAGATTCTGCTAGTTTAGATAATGAGACGTCCTGAACTAGTTAATGGTTTTTCATTGATTATTTTAATTAACTCTGTCTTCAGGTTCTTAATTTCTCAGCATTAGTTTATAATTATATAGCACCAAATGAGGAATTCCTTGGTTATAGCCTTCTCTATAACCATATGCTTCATCGCCTTTGTGATATCCAAGATTTTTATATCGATCCTCCTCTACAAGAGATGGAGAAGAAAACATGTGATATATGAAGAAGGTTATGCAGGTAAGGAGGCAAACAGGGAGTCTTCTACTTTTGTTCTTGCAAAGAAAAAAAAAAGAAAGACACTAATAATAACATTCGTCGATTGAATAATACAGGAGGGAAGATGGTAATATTTAGGTCCTCAGTGCTTAAGTCTCTCACATCTGATGTGATCTTAAAGAAGACACAGAAACTGAACAACAAGGACATTATTGGATCTGGTGGTTATGGTGTGGTTTATGAACTAAAACTAAATGACTCCACAGCCTTTGCGGTGAAAAGACTTAACCGAGGAACAGCACAGAGAGACAAAGGTTTTGAGAGAGAGTTGGAAGCAATGGCAGACATAAAACACCGCAACATTGTGACTCTTCATGGATATTACACTGCACCACTCTACAATCTTCTCATATATGAGTTAATGCCCAATGGAAGTTTGGATTCCTTTTTGCATGGTTTGTATTTTGTTAGTTCCTAACATTACATTCTAAGACTTCCTTATAAAAAAGTCAAAAGGGGGGCAGGGGAAATGGAAGGAAATCCTGAACATTTGCATGATAAATAGATGCTACATATATTTTGATAGTAGTATAGTTTTTTATGTTCACTCTCTCTTATTCACATTTTTGCTCTAGTCAAATATAACTAGTGAAATTTTTAAGATTGGGATGAAATACTGAACTTCTTTTTGTTATTCAGCAAGCACATCATCATTCCTACAGCATCTAATACAGTGATGAAAATGCAACTTTCATCACTTACATTACGTATTTATTGATTTTCTTCAAATGATAATTTAACTACTTTTCTAATTGAAAAGTTGAAAGTGATGCAGGAAGATCAAAGAACAAGAAGGTTTTGGATTGGCCAACAAGATACAGGATAGCTAAAGGTGCTGCTAGAGGAATATCATATCTTCACCATGATTGCATCCCTCACATTATCCATAGAGACATCAAGTCAAGTAATATATTGTTGGATCAAAATATGGAGGCCCGAGTTTCCGATTTTGGATTAGCCACTTTGATGCAACCGAATGAAACTCATGTTTCAACAATTGTGGCTGGAACTTTTGGATACTTGGCACCTGGTATAGATACAACCTGGCTAGACATGGTTTTTCCCTTACACTACTTGTGTTTCAAATTGATGATTATTTGTATACAGAATATTTTGATACAGGAAGAGCAACGGCAAAAGGGGATGTTTATAGCTTTGGAGTTGTGCTATTGGAGCTTTTAACTGGGAAAAGACCTAGTGATGAAGCATTTATGGAAGAGGGAACCAACCTTGTCACATGGGTAAGACAGAATTCTAGCATATTGGCTTCTTTGATTATAATAATCAAGTTTGAAATCAATAATGGAATAACTCATTTTTTATCAAGTACCACATTCACTTTTATCAAAAATATGGCTGAATGACTTGCCTGTCATGTTTCTAGTTTCCATTCAATATATAGATCAATATACAAACAATAAGACTGATATTTAGGCTAAATTAAAGGGATATACTTATTTTTAGGTAGGTTAATTTCTAAACTGATATGTAAGGATTACAATTAATCAATCTAGCATTTACACCTATTTAAAGTATATAAAAACAATCTGTACACATAAATGATAAGTATATACAATAACATCCTCCCTCAAATTGATGTTGGTTGATCAAGAAGCATCAATTTGCTAACAAGAAATTGATGACGTTGTCTTGTGAGAGACTTGGTAAAAACATCTGCTATCTGTAAACTTGTGGAAACATGAGGAAGAGAAATGATTTGAGTGTCTACAGCTTCCCGAATATAATGACAATCCACTTCAATGTGCTTTGTGCGCTCATGGTAAATTGGATTAGCAGCAAGTTGAATGGCACTTGTGTTGTTAGCATGAAGAGGAGTGGGTTCAGCTTGAGGAAAACCAAGTTCAGTCAACAATCCTCGAAGCCAAGTGATTTCCGAGCATGCAGCAAACATTGCACGATATTCAGATTCAGTAGATGATTTGGAGACACAATCTTGCTTCTTACTTTTCCAAGATATCAAGGAGTCTCCAAGAAACATGCACCAACCAATAGTAGAGCGATGAGTATTGGGACAACCAGCCCAATCAGCATCGCTAAAAGCAATAAGTCGTAGGGGAGACCCAGTGGGAAAGAATAGACCACGAGAATTAGAACCTCGTAGATATCTAATGATGCGACGAACAGCAACCACATGCAAACATATTGGAGAATGCATAAATTGACTGACTTGTTGTACAGCAAAGGAGATATCAAGCCTAGTAATAGTTAAGTAGTTCAAGCTGCCTACTAATTATCGATACAATAAAGGATCAGGAAGGAGATCTCCCTCGTCAGCATGGTACTTAACATTTACCTCTAGAGGAGTATCAACAGATGAAGAATCTTGAAGACCAGCCAAAGAAATCAAATCCTGAGTGTATTTATGCTGGTGTAAGAATATGCCAGATGGACTAGTGTGAACTTCCAGTCCCAAAAAATAAGTAAGATTGCCAAGATTCTTCATATGAAAGGAATCATGAAGATGTTGCTGAAGTTGTGTAATCAATAAAAGATCTGTCCCAATGATAACAATATCATCTACATATAGTAGAAGTAGAATAATTCCACTAGAAGTCTTACGAAGGAACAAGGAGGAGTCATATTGGCTTTGCACAAGCTGAAACTTAAGCAATGTGGAGCGAAACTTCTGAAACCATGCTCACGGTGCTTGTTTTAAGCCATAAAGAGAACGATTCAACTTACAAACCTCTTTAGTAGAAGAGGAAAACATACTAGGAGGTGGCTTCATGTATATATCTTCTTTGAGATCAGTATGGAAAAAAGCATTTTTGACATCTAGTTGATAAAGAGGCCATTCTTGTGAGGCAGCAATGACAATGATGGTGCAAACAGTAGTCATTTTTGCCACAGGAGCAAATGTCTCCTCATAGTCAACCCCATACTCTTGTTGATTTCCAAGAGCAACCAACCTAGCTTTATAGCGATCCAGAGTCCCATCGGAACAAAATTTGACTGAGTAAACCCATTTACACCCAATGGGCTTAATATGAGGGGGACACTGAACAATGTCCCAAGTTTGATTTTCTTGAAGAGCACGAAGTTCCTCTTGCATTGCTCGCTGCCAACACTCATTAGAAGCTGCTTGTGAGTAAGAAAATGGAACTAAAATAGAAGTCAAAGCAGCAGTATATGATGTATGATAAGAACTATACTTATTAGGAGGACGAGAAACTCAACTGGATTGTCTCAAAACTAGTAGAGCAACAGTAGATTGCAAGTCTGGATCAGAAGAGGACAGTGATGAAGGAGGACGTCGTGTGTACACCAATCCAGGCTTGAATCGATTTATATGAGATATCGTGTCATCAAAATTAGGAAGAGTAACAAACTCAGGTGATGAATGAAGATGAGTTGGGAAGAAAAATTGATTTTCAAAGGAAACAACATTCCGAGAAACGCGTAATCTTTTTGAATCAGGATCATAGCAAACAAAACCTTTGTGATGAGCACTATATCTCATAAATGCATATTTAACAAATTGAGCAGAAAGCTTATGACGTTCGTGAGGTGGCAAATGAGCAAACAAACACAACCAAAAGTATGCAAATATTGGTAGGACGGATGACTATGATAAAGACAAAAATATGGTGTGTCAAAATTCAGTGTTTGGGAGGGTAAACGAGTAATGAGATAAACTGCAGTAGATAAAGCTTCTACCCAAAAACTAGGTGGAACAGAAGATTCAAGCAACAAAGTACAAACCACATCTAAGAGATGACAATTTTTCCGTTCCGCCACTTCATTCTGCTAGGGTGTGTATGGACAAGAACGTTGAGAGATAATACTTTTTTTATTCAAAAAATCATGTAGTGCATTAGACATGTACTCGCCACCAGAATCAGATCGAAGTACCTTAATAACTATAGAGAATTGAGTTTCAATATATGTAAGAAAAGTCTAAAAAATAGAAAGAAACTCAGATTTAGAGCGAAGAAAATAAATTCAAGTAAACTGACTGTAGTCATCAATAAATGTCACAAAATATTTATAGTCGGCATGAGAAATAACAGGTGTGATCCCCCATACATCACTATGAATAATATCAAAACAGGGTTCTGCACGACTACCAATTATTGGAAACGGAAGTATTTTACTTTTTTCCAGTTTACATGTAGAACAATCAAAAGACACGGGTTTAGTGTTTTCCAAACAACCAGAATTCAACAAACGAGACAAAATGAGAGAATTGGGATGTCCCAACCGCCTATGCCATACTTCACTTTTATTGACATGAGTAGAAAATGTCACATGATAAGGAATAGAAAATTGCAGAGGAAACAAACGTCCAACTTTAGGTCCCTTCGCGATCACTGTCCCCGACACCAGATCCTGCACACAACATCCATCAAGAGAAAAATATACATCACAATTATTTTCTACTAATTGTTCAACTGAAATGAGATTATTAGAAAGTTCAGAGAATACAAAGGCATTGTTCAAAATTAGAGTGATATCTCCAACAGCAGTAATGGGTATAGTGTGTCCATTAGTGACCTGGATTTGTTGGAACCATTGTATGGGCGAACATTTTGCAGATAATTTTCTGAACTAATCATATGTTTTGAGGCTGCAGAATCAATAAGCCAAGAATTAGATGATGATTTTCGATTACCTTAAAGCTCCAAAGCAGAGAAAGCAGAAATAATCATTTATTGCACCATGTCAGCAGTAAGAACGGTGGTTTCAGCACTATTATTGACTACAGAAGGAGGTGAGGTCCCATCTATAATTTGACTAGATGATGAATTTCCTATAGTGGCTTGCTAGGCAATAGGCTGGCGATTTTGAGGCCGAATTGAACACTCTTTAAGAATGTGTCTTGGCTTTTTGCAATAATTGCAGAATTTTTTGGTACATTATGTAGCAATGTGACCATAATTCTTACAACTATAACATTAAACTTTACTCATATCCCTACTTTTGTCTCTTCTTTAAGCCAAAAAGGCTAGAGGTGCAGCAGTCAACTTGTCTTGATCAAGAGAGGCTTGAGTAAAGAGACGTTCTTTACAAATCAACTCACCAAAGCAATCATCCAAGGTAGGAGAAGGATGACAATTCATCAAATGAGAACGAATATTCTCAAAATCAAGTCAAAGCTTCATCAGAAACTTATCACGTTTGCTAACTTCATGAACAGCTAATATATCAGAAAGAGAAGTTGTGGAAACAGTAGCACAAACAATATCAGAAAATTCAGCCCATAAATTTTAAAATCTAGAAAAATATTCCTAAATAGACAAGTTTCCTTGAGAGTAGTTAGCAATTTTGCACTCCAACTGAAATCTTCAAGCTGAATTTGTTTGATTATAAACCTTCTTCAAGTAGTTCCACATCGTTTTGACAGTTTTGTGTGGACGTAAATGAAGAGCGATCTGAGGATCACATGACATTATAAGCCATGACATAACCCGAGCATCCTTGAATTTCCATTGAGCTAACTCTGTAGCATTTGTGAGGGTTGGGACAGTGTCATCTATATGTCTCCATAACTCCTTCTCAGTAACAAATAATTGAAACTGAAATTCCCAAGTTGCATAATTTTTTCCAGTAAATTTGACACAAAATTCAGGTGTACTACTAGCTATTACAAAGTAATGAATGGAAAAAAAAAATACCCTGACAAACGAGAAAACCCCTAAGAGAACAAAGAACAAGAAAACCAAGGCTCAAAAAAAAAAGACACGAACACCCCACCCAAAATTTAGGCTCTTGATACCATACCAAAAATATGGCTGAATGACTTGTCTGTCATGTTTCTAGTTTTTATTCAATATATAGATCAATATACAAATACTAAGACTGATATTTAAGCTAAATTAAAGGGATATGCTTATTTTTAGGTAGGCTAATTCCTAAACTGATATGTAAAGATTACAACTAATCAATCTAGCATTTACACCTATTTAAAGTATATAAAAACAATCTGTACACATAAATGATAATTATATACAATAACAACTTTGACCTCTATTATTTGCTATCATAAGAGAGGGGGGGGGGGTGTTTGAAAACCAGAACAAAGTATTCTATTTAAATTTAAAATGAAAAATTATATGGAGATTAAAATAATCAAAACTAGAAAAACAAAAAGCAAAACTTGGAAGCATAAATCTATAGGGCTGGATTGGCATATAATCCAATTTACTTGCTTTTACGCATTCGTTCATTCCCATTTATAAAACACATACCATTGACAATTAGAATGGAAAAATATTGATTTTTTATGACAGCTACCAACGAGTCAAATTAGAACATGATTTTCTGGCTCAAAACTGAATTTACTTCAATTCTGGACCCAACTTAGGAATATGTACTGCTTTCTAGAAAATAATTCTGTTATTATTGAATCAGGTCAAGGCTGTTGTTCAAGAGAAGAAGGAAGAGTTAGTTCTTGATGATAGCTTAGAGTCTTGTCCAATGCAAGAGGTCAACAAGGTTTTCAACATTGCTATGATGTGTCTTGAACCAGATCCCTTGAAGAGGCCAAATATGGCTGAGATTGTCAACTTGCTTGAGTGAACAGAACAAGCTAACTTGTTGCTGCATCTTGATGTTTCACACAAAAAACCATCACTCTAAAGTTTCTGTAAAACCATCCAACAAGCATTGGCAGAGCCATCAAACACCAAGATTAATGTAGTTTGGGAAGGTCAAGCCCAAGAGGGTGAAAACAAGATATGAAAAAATATACATGTGTATGGTAAAATATTGAATTTTGAAAAAAAAAATAAAATGAGGGGGTCTAGTGTAGCTGTCTAGTTATTAAGAGATCCAGCCACTGCCTACTGTCTATCAGCTTCAACAATTTTGTTTTGTAATTATACTATACAGGGACTGAGAGACGTTAATATGCGCCTTGACATGGTTACATGCCAATCCACCATGTTGAATACGCCAAGACTAGGATAAAGTAGATGAAGCTTTGGTCAGAAAAGCACATTTATACGATGAAAATTTTCTTTCTGGACAAAATAGTTCATTAGAATTGGTCCAAGTGTATTTCAAAGATTTTAGACCATTAAAAATAAATACCAGAACTAAGTAACAGCTTCCAATTGTACATAAGGCATACATCAGTAGACCAGAGAACATGCTTACATAGACATCAGGAGAATACAGGCAGCAACAGTACATTTAAAAATTAAACCTTTTACATCGATGCATGAAACTCTCTCAAGAGACACTAAACGTTTTTATTTGAGTACTTTTGACAAGCCTTCAGCCACTGAAGCTTTCAAGGAGGGAGAAACAGGACTATCTCCAAGGAATACATCAAAAAGAGCAGAAGTCACATTTGCAGATTCAATTGTAGCATCCACAGTAGATGGAAGTGCATGTGAGGAGACAGAAACCTGAAACCTCAATCAATTTAGAAGGAATAGTTTCTTGAGAGATAGAAATGGTAAAGAGGCAGGAAAATAGACATCAATGATCTCAATTATCTGAAGTAAAAATCACAATGAAAATATGAACGAAGACTTACAAGCAGTTTGGAGGGGTTCAACCAAGTCAAAATTATAAAAGTTCCTTTCTTAAGAGGGCGATCTAGAAAGACACCACGGAAAGTTGTCAAGGCGGTTTCATCTGCAGTTGTGGGTTGTGCTATTCTTGGTGATATGGCATCACTTAAGGCATCCCAAAAAGTTTTACCATCAACATCTCTAACAAGAATAATTTGCAATGATTTCTCATGAGAAGCTGCAATCACATAAAGGCATATGTCTATCAACTTATTCTCTGTGAGCGCATTGTAGATTGAAATAAATGAATACAAAGTTGTTACATTGGAAAATGGTCTTGAACAAGGAAGAATTCCCTTGAATTGCATCTTTTGATTGCCCTTTCCAAGCATTCAACTCAATTGTGATAGATTGATTTAGATACAAACCTGCAGCATAGACCTTGACACCAATAATTGCAAAAACTTTCTCTCTATATCCTGAAATAAGTTAGTATCCATCAAATCCTATAACATTGAAAAACATAGCATGACTACTTTGTTTAGAAATAATTAAGGGCCAAAAAGAAAAAAATTCACAATACAATACAGACAGAAGAACATTGGAATCAAAAGCTTTCACATTTACAGCTGTACCAAGTTTGATTGCCCCATGCAAGTCACAAATTTAATGATATAACTAATTCCACAAGTGAATTATCAAACAAGGTACTGCCTACTGTGTCCTACAATTAACCTCAATTGTTCGCTGTATATTTCCTAATTGTGACCAATTTGCCTATAATCACTGTATGTTACAGACATTTTACTTTTCGTGATTTTCACAAGAGGTTTGAATTTAGGCACAAGGTTATTATCAAGAGTTTGGAAGTATCAGATTTGGAAGTTCATGTCCAGAAAGTAAGTTCATTATGATATCAATATATTTAGCTTCTTACAAGAATAAACATCATCATAGAAAGCATCTAAAGCACCAGATAAACAAAATCAATCCTGCTCAGCATATGCACATGAAATTGCTTTATAAATATCTTTTCAATATTAACATATCAAGTTATGGTTGTAATCATATTTTCACATGCTCAGAGCATTTTTTTTTCTATCTCTTCCAAAAGTCGTTTGATACTATAACGACTAACCAGTTCCAAACAAAATTAATGAATCTGAGCAACCCGGAAAACTTGAAGATGTCTGGAATTTCACATTCGTTGCTGGTTCCTTCACATATTCAGCATTTGTAGCTGCAAGGATCGATTACAACCAATTAGACATCAACCTTTATTATCAGCTAGCATGACACAGTGAAGGAAAGAGAATTTTGTGATAGATGATGAACTAACAGAAGTTCTATATTGATAATCAAGATACCAGTAGAAAAACAAAATGCTTACATTATAAAATAATGCCTTAATTTTTTTGTGAGGCTCAATATCATAGGGAGAAGATGAATGTAAAGAATATACAAATCTTGATTATCAATTTAGGACTTCTATTATGTTGCTCATATTTAATTTTGAGTTCTCTCTCTCTCTCTCTCTCACACACACACACACAGATGTGCAGTGTCACGGTGTCCAATATTTTGGAAATTAACCTTGTTGAAGTGTTTGTGTTTGGTCCTCACAGCTAACAACATATGTTCAATAGCAAGATACCCCTAACACCTAACTTCAACTACCTGTTTTTCTATCAACAAACTTGGGGATGCAATATAAAATGAGATATAGAGTTTGATTTTAGCATCTCTTAAAAAGCATCCACTGAAGAAATTTCTTATTATATGAACATCTTATTTGGCTTTTAACTTGGCCAATCTGTACAAAAATTAACCATTTCTTGTTATTTCCTAACAAAAGATGCCACAAGAAGTAGCAATAGTTATTTTGAATGAGGAGTTCAGAAAAGCAAATGAAACAGACTTGTCCCTGCTCACATTTATTCCTTGTTTAGTGTTGCAAAACCAACTAATAGGGACAATTCACCCAACTTTCTGACTAGTATTTACCACTATTCAAGTTACAGTTCTGTAAAAGTCAGCAACTAGCACAAAAAACATAATAATAACAGAAAAACACGACACCAGAATCTCATCTACTTTTTCCCTTCTCTTTTTCTTCTAGGCTTTATTAAAGGCGAATATTTGTTGTACAAGGACAAAGAAGCAAGTTCAAGAGATTTTGGTGGCACATCTCAAAAATAAGTTGTACTATAACCATGTCAGCACTCCAATTAAAAACACAAAAGCATTATTCTCCACGAAACAAGTTATCCAACAGAATTCAAAATTTACCTTTAGTTTAACAATTAACATTAAAGAAAAAAGACATATTCTATAGCAATATCAATCTAACATCAGTAGGAGTGTTTGGAAGAGCTTACGGGGAGCATATGAAAATAACATACCATTCTCACAAGTTATTTTCAGCTTATTTTAATATATATTTTTTTCACATAGCTTATTAAAACAATTTTTTTTCAGCTTATGCCAATACAATAAGAGTTTATTAAATAAGCTCTTAATTAAGCTGCTACCCAAAAACATCCTTTATATAATAATCCTCATACATGCAGCACTGCCACTAAAGTTTATTCCTCAGTCTGCATTGTTAATTTTCCAAGAAAGTTGCAACTGCATTCCATACAAGAATCAGTTGAAAGAATAAACCAAGCAACAAGGCATAAAAACTAGAACTAAAAAGTGGGGTTGATGAGAAAGCAAAAAGATAAAGTCGAGAATAATGACAGTGAGCACAGAATCTGACCAGAAGATGAAGCAGCTTGTGCAAGGAAAAGGGGTAGTCTTCTAATGCTCTTGCAGAAAGACAAATGCAAAGGGGCAGCTGATGAGAGTGAGAAACAGTGGGCATGGCTCACTGGCAATGTTGAATTTGAGATTCCTTTGAGAACAACAATTCTATTGGAGTGGTTGGATGGTGAAAAGGATAGTGTTGTGGAAGCTGCTACAGCTCCAAGCATTTTAAGGTAGGATTGTGTATGCTGAGGAATGTTCTTAGGTAATAAAATATTGATATAAGAAATCAAAACTCAACTACTCTCACTTTGGTCTTTCCGCCGGTATTCTTTTTTCTGCCCTGTGTTGAAGTAAATTCCTTTGGACAGTTAGATTATTTTATTTTTGTTGTTAAACTGAAAAAGTTGCTTTTATCTATTTATCCAAATCTCGGTCCCAAGTTGTCTATCTTTTCAATAGTATAAAGACAATACGTTTTCTGCTCCTGCCATTTCTTTTATCAGATCTTGCTATAATTTCGGGAGCTCCTTGCTTAGAGTAACTTGTTAACAATTAATTCATAATTTTTTTTTAATTTAATTCTTTGGGTTTTTATAATAAAGTATAATATTTTTAAAACTTTTAATTATACTCTCTTATTTTTAATACATATAACTTTATTTATTGTTTTCTTTTAGTCTAAATCACAAGTTTTATTTAAATTGGATAAGATTATTAGTAGATGGTATTTTTTTCAATTATTCAATACATATATAATACTTAAATTAAAGATGGTTGATGAAATTAAAATAATTATATATCAATTAATTCACGTATTATTTAGTGATGATTATATATTTTAACATTTACTTCTGCTTTATTCATTTTTTTTTAATTTTCTTTTTCTTTTATCATATTTCTTGCTTTCTTTCTTTCTTTTTATATTTTTTTTATGCGCTCTATATTTAAATAATATGTTAGAAAGCCTTTAAACATAAATCTAATGCAGAAACTACAGTTAGTTACATTAAAATAAAATATAAATTCACTTGTATCCTAACGTAAAATAAAAAATGCTATCTATCGATTACATTCAAAATGTAAGCATTAACTTATAATCATTCAGTTTTAAAATGTTTTAAATTAATATTTTTATTTTTAAATTTTTTTATTATACTTTTAAATTTTTTATTTTAATTTTAATATATTATATTTTCAGTTAAATCTCAATTAATTGTTTATTTATTGCATTTTTTAAATTAACTTAATTATAATTTTTATATATCATTAAATGTGTGAATCAATTATCATAAAATTATTTCAACTTAATTCATAATATTAACTTTAAGTTCTAGAAATAATTTTATCACTTGTAATAATCTTGAACAGAATTATTTTATATAAAAAATACATGTTATGTAAAAAAAAATATCTTTAATTTATTATGCATTTTTCTTCTTATTTGAAATTTCAAACCCCTCTTTCAATATTTGTAGATTTGATATAAACTGATTAGACATTTATTTTTTTTATAATTCCAAATATTTTTATATGAATTTATTCTTTTTTTTTGTTCTTACCTAAACATAAGGCATTGCTTTAAATCCTAGATATTTATATTCTCAGATTATTTTAAATTTTTTATTAACTAAAGTAAGTTCTTTTCCTCTCAAAATATAGTTTCTTCACTATTGTACAAAAACATAAATTGAGCTTTAATATTGTTAAATATTTTTATTGTTATTTTAATATACTCATGGCACCCGTTAGAATAAGTAGAAAACAAATCAGCAATAACATCTCAATGATTAAGAGCTTTGAACAGAAAAATAAATAAAACGTAAAATGGGACCCTACACTCAGTAAATGGACAATAACAGTGGGGTCATTGTTTCCTTACAACGTTCTCATTTCTCCAATAATGACCCAATCAGAAAGCCAGAGCCAAAAATTGCTCTTAAATCTAACAAGTACACCTCACTCCACGTGCTCCCTTTTTCTTTTGCAAAATTTAGATACAACTTTTTATTTATTTTTTTTACTTTTTTAAAAATTTAAATTTTATTTTTAAAATTATATTAATTCTTTTAGTATTCAACTCTTGTAAAATAAAAAATTTTGTATATCAAAATATAATTTTTTAAAAAATTATAAAAATATGAGAACTCAAAAATCACCAATAATAAATTAGTTAAATTAAAAATTTGTCATTTTTATATAAAATTAGTTAATTCTATTCAAAACACATTTTGAGTTTAACTAAATTTATTCATTGGTGATTTTTTATTTTCATATTTTCATAATTCTTTTCAAAATTTTATATTACACTTTTGTTTACTATAATGAAAGAAATCTATTTTTTAATGCATGACTAATAAAATATAGTAAAAAACTAATAAATAATAATTTTATAATTATAACGTTTTATCTGATAAGGATGTAACTCCAAATTACATTGATTGCAAAAAAGAAAATCAAAATATTTTATTTTATTTTTCTCAGGTGAGATCCCCACCCCAATGAAGTTTCAATGTCATTGTAAATTGTAAATTCCATTTGCTGTTAATGTAGCCGTTGTGCTGACCTGACGTTTGGGTATCACCCACCATGGTTTGCTTTTAAAAGATCCCATCCTTCCATTATAACCCACACTCACATACACTCTACTCTACTTCTCTATCACATCTCTCTCTCTCTCTCTCTCTCTCTTCATCATTCTACTCTAACCTCTTAGTCACACTATTCTGTAGCAGTAGTTCAGACAGTACTTGTACACCCATGGCTAAAGTAGCTGTTCTCTTTTTCCTTATCGTCTTATCTCTCTCTTCAGGTTTGTGTCAGATTTTTATATATTTTTGCTCCAGTGCTATATAATAATCTTAAGTCATCAACATTCGTCTCAGTTTTGGTTTTTGGACTTTGGTTTGTATTATACATAAACATGGTTTGGTTTACATTTTACACAGCCAGTGTAAATTTTGTTGGACTTGGAATTTCTTCCAGGGACATGATTCCTTACTCAAAATGTTTATTTGAAGGCTTTTTCTTCTTTTTAGCTTTCAGATCTCTAGTGGGGTTTTATTAATTTCGAAATTTTCAGTTGCAAAAGTTGAAATTTCGAGTTTTATATACCAAGTATAGGTGTATCTTGGAGTAGCATTAGCAAAATGCTGTACTTATACTCCCTTTGATAAATGATCTCAAAAAAGAGACTCCTTTTTTGAATTAGCAATAACATTGGTGCAATGTGTGTTTATTGATATTAAGCACATTTATTTATTATGCAGGAGGGAATATGATAAAGGTTAATGGGCAGGTAACTATAACCAAATTTCTCTAATGCCTTTAAAAGAGATTATATAATTTGTATACTAAAGTTGGAGTATTTTTTTTTTCTCTTATGGAATTATTCACAGAAAACTTGGTGCGTGGCAAAGCCTTCATCAGACCAGGCTACCCTTTTAGCCAACCTCAATTATGCTTGCTCTCAAGTTGATTGCAAGATTCTGCAGAGAGGTTGCCCCTGCTCTTACCCTGACAATCTCATGAACCATGCCTCCATTGCCATGAATCTCTATTACCAGTCTAGAGGAAGGAACCACTGGAACTGTGATTTCAGGGCCTCTGGCCTCGTTGTTATCACCGATCCAAGTATGTCACATTACTCATTTTATTATTTGAATTTCTAAATTGCTCTTTTGTAACTGAAATTTTGGCTTTATATATGTGTAGAAACTAATGTACAAGTTTTTTATGACTTTTTGTTGTGCTAAATGTGCCTTTATTTCTCATTTTAAATTGCAGGTTATGGTAATTGCATTTATGCATAGAAGGGGAGTAGTGGACTGAAAAAACTCAAGTATATGATCTGCTCCCATGTAGGCAAAATTTGATAGTGGATTTTATGTGTTGCTTTAATCTTCTGCTATATGGACTTGTAATTAAATAGGTTGTCATTGTCAACCAGTAAATATAGCGTCAAGTTTTGCCATTTCTTATTTTGCATTTCATAAATTAATTTTTAAAGGACTTAAATAAGATTTTGTTTCTCTAGAAAGTTAATTACTTTTTTATTTTTATTTGGTCTTTTTTTTATAATTTAATTCCTTAGAATATTTTTCTTTTTCATTTGGTCCATCTGTTAATCATTTGTTAGCTTGTTTTATTATATGTCTTGTATAATTTGATTGAGACATAATATGGTAAGATGTGTTATTAATAATATCCCATTTTTTATTTTTTTAATAAAATTTTAACTTATAAAGCTTAAGACTTATATTTAAAAACATAAAAAAGTAAAGTGTGAATGTAAGATTATCATTTACAACAATTTTATGTCATGAGTCAAATTGAATATTACATAAGAACATATTTAAAAAAGAAAAAGAAAATTATTAATAGAGAGAGAAACTACTAATAGAGGAGTCATATGAAAAAGTATGATTTTTGATAGACTTGTTTTAAAATAAAATAAAAATGAGGGATTAAATGACATAATGACAAATTTTATTTAATTAGTGTTGGAATAGATCAAAATTACTATATTACATATATTTGAATAACATATAATATATACATATATATATATATATATATATATATGATAAAAAATTATTTTAAAATACTGTAAAATTTCAAATAGATAATTTTTATGTCAATTATGAAGAATTTTTATCTCTTTAATATATACTTAATTTTTTATTTATAACTCTTTTCAAATTTAAATTTTACTTAGATAATCCCTTATTATTAATTTATGGTTTTTAGAATTTGGAATTTTTTTATCTAAATATGATCCTAAGCTTTTTAAGAAATTGTTATGTGTGGTAAAAGAAGAAATTTATATGTTAGAAATTCACTTTTGGAGTGTAAAGTAAGCAGAGGAGAGAGAAAAATATATAAAAAAAAGGAAAGAGAGATAAAAGTGAGATAAAAAAAAAAGAATAAAAAAGAGAGTGAAAAAAGTAACCGACGAAGTGATAAAATAATATTTTAAAAAAAAAGTCTGAAAGGAAGAGGAAAAAATGTTTTGAATTTGAAATCCAGTTTGTTGATTCACAAATGGTAGTTTGATAGTTTGCGTGCAAACATTAAATCAAAATTTGCCAATTTTACTTTTCGATTGATACCCCTATAATTCTATAAAGATAAACTTTTCGTTTGCAACATTTCTCTAATTCTCTCTCTTTTTATATATCTAGAAAAATGTTAATACTATTTATTCTTTAAAAATATTTTATTTCAACTTCACCTTTGTTTAATCTTTTTATATCATATTACTTTATCCTTTTTCTGAGTGCACAATCTTCATTGCAAATTACATTCTTTCTAGTTCTACAACTTTTTCTCATACTTTTTCTTTCATTTTGCTTTTATTCGCAGAAAGTGGACAGTATCACAGTACATCCGAATATGAATGGAATATTCGATTGAATCGTTATGAATATAGAAAAGTAGAAACTTAAAATAAGATATGCTTAAAATAAATACACCGTAGAATAAGATTATGATTATTCATTACAAAAATATTTTTTCATATATTTTAACTGCTTTATCAGCATATATTTAAGTCTAATTTATGTATTTAAAAATACTAAACTATTTATTAATCCCATATTTATTATATCAGAGATGTAAAAAAACTTATTAAAAAATAGGGCCCCTTGGGAAATGAAAGGAACGCAATTATCCAAAGAACACCAGATTTTGTTCTTTCAAAAGCTAAGACACATAATTTTAGCTTATGCAAGACTTTTTTTAGAGAGTTTTAAAAAAATAAAAAAAATTGAAAAAAAAGAAAAAAAAGAATTATAAAACTTTTAAAACAGGAGAATTTAATAAATATAAAATTAGGAGTATTTTTAATAGTTTATAAACTCTTTATCTCTCATCTAAAAACTTTTAAATAAAGATAAATATTATATAAATTTTTTTAATAATTAATTTTCAAATAAAATCTTAGGTTTAGGATTAATTTTTACAAATTATATTTTAAAACAGTTTTTAAAAAATAAAAATAAAATTTATGCTAATAAATAAATTTTTTATTTAAAAAAATATTTAAAAAAAAAAGAAAATAAACAAAATCTTTAGCTTCTTGCCCCTGTGGTGAAGAGAAACATTCTTCTAATTCATTGGCTTTTTCACACCCACCGTAATCAGCATTGCAGAGAGACGACAACCATATTGAATAGCTAAACGTTAAATAGTTAGTTAACTTTTTATTATTATTATTATTGATTTATTATTGCAATTTCTATATATTGTTAACTTATTACATTTAAACTCCCTAAAATTTATAAAATTTTATTTTATATCTCTCTTTATATATATATATATATATTGTTTTAATCTTTCCTGAGTTATATAATAATTGTATACAAAATGAAAGACAATTTACGTAATTGAAAAGAATATTATAGTAGTATTGTAATAAATATGTTTACTTATGTGTAAGATACTTGATTAATATATATATATATATATATATATATATATATATATATTATAATTGAAAAATAAAAAGATAGATAAAGTAGAGTCAAAATTAAACATTAATTTTATGATTTCAAATTGAAAATAAAATTTTACTTCTATAATCCATTTAATCTGATATCATCCTATGAAAATAAATTCAAGTTAATGTAAATTGTTTCGATTGTAAGCATAATTTTATCAATCTTTGCACGTTAAGATAAGGCGTTTTAGGAGTTTAAATAATTACATTAGATCAATTTCCATGGAAAGAAAATAATTTTAAATCATATTTAATTTAATTTAATATGAAGTGACTTTGACTGAATCAATAATTTTTAAATAAAAAATATTTTAAAACAAATTAAAAATCTCAATAAAAAAGAAAAATACGATACAACAAAAATAAAAGAATTTTTTTAATATATTTTCATTCAAAAGATTGTTTAACATTGTTATTTAAAAACAAAGATTTAAATTTAATATATAAAATTAAATAAGTGCAAAGTAGAATTTAAGTATGATTTTTTTGTTTCGAATTTTTGTACTCATTTCTTGGTCAATCATTTCAGATTTGTTTTAATTTTTAAAGATGTCTGAAAACGTATGGATTCTCTCTAGTTAAACTTTCAACTATTCATTATTTTAATAGTTAGAAAATACTAACATAAGTATTTTTAGAACATTAGTTATAGAATTTAAAATTGTTTAATTAAAAAAATACAAAAATATTTTTTTTTATAATTTTGAATACATTTCAATAAAATATTTAATAAAAATTTATTACTAATAAAATATCAGCAAGACCCAAAAATGTAATGTTTAGTATTTTCTTGATCAAAAGTTGAAATAGTTATGTATGAATTAACTGGGCAAAAAGCTTAATCCAAAACGTCTTTCCTATTTGGTTGTGTCTGAATTCAGTAAAAGGATTTGGCAAACAATAGAGTTTGCGTAAGAAATGATTAATTTACAAAATCTCTTACGTATATTGTCATAAAACCCTTACGTGATTGGCTTTAACAATTATTGTCACATAATAGCATTTGGACACATTAATATTCTTGAATAATATCACACTCTCCTACACAATTGGTAACGTGGCTCAATCCTCAAACTCAAATTATGTAGTTTTTTTCTTTGGTATTTTAATTCCCTGTGTTGAGGGTTTTCTCTGGCTCTTGTTTGAGCACATCAAACTTGCAATTTTTCTACCTACACGCTACACTAACTAAGAGACCATATTCAAAACATTTCTAAAAAAGATATTTTTATCCAACAAATCCAAAAATATCTTATCATTAAGTCTTTTAAATATTGATTTATTCAGCTAGATTAATTATGTGTCTGTATTTTAAAATTATTTTTTCCTAAAATGACTAATATCTAGTCATCAATATCATTAGACTTTTGAATAATTCAAGTAAAAAATTTGAGTTATTATTGCAATTATATTTTCAAGAACTTGTGTTTAAGACTTACTTTAATTGTAATATTTTTTATCAATTAATTCACCCATTTAATAATATTTAAAAGTAGAAAATTAATATTAATTTTTGAAATTATTTGGAGCAATTAAGAGTAATGATAATTTGTTAAACACTGTTTATTACATCTTTGTATAATAAACACTTTTCTCATAAAAAATTATATATCTTATTAACTAATATTCTAAAAATATTAAAAAGTATATTTTTACTTAAAAATATGTTAAAAATATCTTTAAAATCACATAAAATATCATTTAACACTCCTTCTGTTTTATTTTATAAGAAATAAGATGGAATATTTTTTTTGTCTTAATTAAAAGAAATATAAAATAAATTATAGATGTATTAATTGTTAAATATATATATATATATATTTTATTAAATACATGTTTTACGAGATAATGAATACACTAAATATATTATTTAACATCATGAATATTTTTTAAATAAAATTTATATTTATAAAAAATATAATTACTTATTTTTCTTAATTCTAATAATTTAATCTTTTATTTTTTATTAAAAAAATCAAAGAGAGAAATATTTTAATATATATATTTTTTCTGTTTTAGTCAACATGTAGTCTTAAAACGCTTATTTTCAATTTCAAGAATTAACGTTAACAAAACTGGTTAAACAATTAATTGTAGGTTGACAATGGTAAATATAATTTTCATCATAAGAGACTAAGGAGTCTTGGGGCACTTAATTTCATCATCATTTATACTATATTTTACTAAAAATTGTGCCAATGAGTGTGACACAAAAAAAATTAGATCCACCGTTTAGAGTTGTATGTTATCCTCTAAATAAGATGTCCTAAGCAAAAATCATGAGTCACAGATTTCATTCTCATCGTTTTCTCTCTCAACTGATAAGAAACATAGTCCTATGTGGGCTCTTCCGATCCACTTACTTAACTCTACACTTGTGTTCCTTCTTTCCACTTCAAACCTGTGACCCAAAAACACCCCCTTTTTTTTCTCTTTCTCTTCTTTTCTTCTCTCCCACCACAACTACTTCGATTGTTATTCCTCCAATGCTTCTAACGTGAAATTGGGTTCCTTTTCCATCTGGGTTTTGTGAATTGTGATTAGAACTTGCTGGTTCTTAAAGCTTCTGGGCTTGGCTCAGAAGTCATAATGATGTCTGTGACTGGCAAAAACTTGCTCTCTTGTGGTTGTTCTTCCAATGCTTCGTTTGATAGGTCCACGGTGAGGAATTTTGCAAAGGTTAATTCCAAAGGGTGGGGTAGAGGCCATGGAGCTCGTAAATCGTTTTGTTGTAAGAGGAGGAGCACTCAATGCAGGGTTTCTTCTATGAAGCCTGCACAACCTACTGTGAATGGTATACGGTTCTCTCAATGAAAGAGTGTAGCAGAATTGCTTATATAAGACTTTATTAGCAATAGAACTGTGTGCTAGAGTTGCATGTATAAGATTTTTATCAATACAAGTGTGTGGTAGAGTTGTTTCTGGTTACTTGTTTGAATGAATGAACATAGATGTTGGTTATGGATGTGGAACATGGCATTGCAAGTTTTGATTTGGCGTGGTTTTGGATAGGGGGGACTCAAGCAATTGAAGGGCTTACAACAGGGTTGGACTTGAAGAGTTATTCAGAAACCCCCATTTCCCCAGCTCGGTTGTTTGAAGTGGTTGCTGATGATTTGCAAACTCTCAATAAAAATCTTCAGTCGGTAAGCAATGCTTTCTCCCCTTTTTGCTTTTTCTATGTAGACTGTGAATGATTACTGTTTCTGTCCTGTCTCGTGAAGTCTTGTGTTGATTTATCTGCCATGACTGAAGTGGCACTTGAATGGCTTTCTTTCATCATCATTGTTGTTGTTAACCTTGGTTGAATTCCTTATTGCAGTTCTGTTTGATGACATCATGTTTCTTTGTATCTTGATACCAGTTTACAAATCACAATGTTTCAGGATTGATGTTATTGAATTTAGTTTAATTTTAATGAGACTGGATGATTTTTAAATGCCATTCTGATTTGTTTTATTGTAACAGAAGTTACTACCCAGTTGTTGGACATTTTTTGTTAGAATGTTTATCCCGCCAATTAGTGCCAAGTTTTTATTCTCATCTCATTGCCTGCTGAACCTTCTTTCTATTTTACTTCTTTTGCCTTTGTAAACAGTGATAGATTCTGTTGCCTAACATCTGATGTACCTGATAATGATGCCCCGATAGATTGTAGGTGCAGAAAATCCAGTTTTAATGTCTGCAGCTGAACAGATCTTTAGTGCTGGTGGGAAGAGGATGAGACCAGCTTTGGTGTTCTTGGTGTCAAGGGCAACAGCTGAGTTACTTGGCTTGAAGTAAGTATATAATTCTCTCTTTGACATGTGCAGGTGTGCATACACACACACCAACACAGTTTCCTTGCCTGTCCTGAAAATTCTATATATTTGCAATAGAAAATTGAAACCTTCATCTTTAAATGGGTGACTCCAGGGAAATTACTGTAAAGCATCGACGTTTAGCTGAAATTATTGAAATGATTCATACTGCAAGTTTGATACACGATGATGTATTAGACGAAAGTGATCTAAGAAGAGGTAGGCTTGTGATCTTTCTTTTGAAATTAACCATTTATTTTTATGAAATCACTTTTGGTTTCTGATTATGTATCTCATTTGGCAAGGTGCTTTCTATGAAGCAATTATTCTAATACAATAAGTTAGTTTTAATTTTAAGATAACCAATTAAGCATGTTACTGTTTATTTGATGAAACATTTCATTTGCACCTCAAGATTGTGCCAAAGCTGTGATGCTTGGGTCGTGTATCATATTTGGAATTTGTTTAAGGAGAGTCTTCAATCTGGTCCAGAGTTTTGATACTTGCGGAAGATTTGTTATCAATGGGATTTAGACAATATCTCTAAAAAGGAGAGAGAAAGAGAAACGGAAAATAAAAGAGATAACTAAATTAGATTCAGATACTGAAAAGGGAAAAAATGGACAAGTGTACTAATATTAGAAGCTTCTTCAGTTTTTGTAATGTCTTGGAAAGCACTTGCTAACTATACTTGTTAATGAGGAATAAGAATTCAGGTCCATGTCATTTTAGTTTTTAATCATCTGATTTGCTAATACCTGCTAGAGTCCCTCCACCCACCTAAAACAGGAAATGAAATAGAATGGATAAAAGAATAAAACTGCACAACACAACTACAGCCTAAAACTTCATTATTATTGGTAGGATGAAGTGCATCTCTTTAAGCAATTACAGCAGACCTAAATAGCATAGTAGTGGTAGTTCAATGCATGCTTTGGCAAAAGGTCCCCTTTTTATTGGCTGCTAGTGCCATTCTATGCTCTACATACAGCATAAAATTGAGAACTAAAGGAGAATAGGTTTCTCAATACAGTGTGCTCATGGAATTGTTCTGGTGTCTTTTAAGGGAATTCAAATGAAAACTGAAAAAAGAATAGGTTCTCCATGTATTCACATTCCATTGGACTTTAAATATCTTGCCCAGATTGAGCTTGACCATCTTGGTTCGATCCTTAATGTGAACTTGTTTTCTATAATAAAACCCTTAAGATTGCACATTTAAGAATTGAACATCATTACTTTTTGGACGAATATTTACATGTCCATATTCAGTATTACCATTTTAGACCAAACCTATGCATCAACTTTTTCAGGAGTGTTGACATTTTTGTCTATACAACTGTAAAAATGATTATGGAGTTTCATATTATAACATTCATTTTCCAGGTTTTCTTCTCCTCTGCTAATTTCAGTTTCCCTCTATTTGAACTCAAATGTGATTGCTATGTATTAACAGGGAAGAAAACTGTTCATCAAATGTTTGGAACAAGAGTTGCAGTTCTTGCTGGAGACTTCATGTTTGCACAGTCATCATGGTATCTAGCCAACCTTGAAAATATCGAAGTCATTAAACTTATCAGCCAGGTGAGTTCCATCGTCATACCTGTTTAAGACACCATCTTTCACATACATGCTTAAAATCATTATTCCGTAAGTGATTGACACACTTGAACCCAATTATTTAGCAGAGAATGCATAATTCCTTTTTCTGAAGTTTGTTGCATTACTTTTGTGCTGTGACAGGTGATCAAAGATTTTGCAAGTGGGGAAATAAAGCAGGCTTCTAGCTTGTTTGACTGTGATGTTCAACTTGACGAGTATCTAATTAAGAGCTATTATAAGACAGCTTCCTTGATTGCTGCCAGTACAAAAGGAGCTGCAGTTTTTAGTGGTGCTGACAGCAGCATCACTGAGAAGATGTATGAATATGGAAAGAATCTTGGTCTATCCTTCCAAGTTGTGGATGACATATTGGATTTCACGCAATCAGCGGAGCAACTGGGAAAGCCTGCTGGCACTGACCTTGCCAAGGGTAATCTGACTGCTCCAGTAATATTTGCGTTGGAGAAGGAACCAAAATTGAGGGATATCATTGAATCTGAATTTAGTGAGGTTGGTTCCCTTGATGAGGCCATCAAGTTGGTCAAGAGTTGTGGGGGGATTGAAAGAGCACAAGAATTGGCAAAAGAGAAAGCTGATCTTGCAATTCAAAGTCTCCAATGCCTCCCTCAAAGCATGTTTCGTTTAGCTCTCCAGGATATGGTCGTATATAATCTTCAACGAATAGCATAAACTTATGCATGCTGAGGACACATTGCTAAGAAAATAAAAAAAACATTCTTTTTTTCCTAAAAGGATGAGACCCTTGAGAACTTTTTGCAATTTCAAGAATTTCCAGCAAATCTATCATGTCTTCCTCCTGTGCTACTTTTAGAGTACTAATATAGACATTGAAGGACAAAGCTAGTGCACATGCTCATCATTTCATATATTTGCAGCTTCCTGCAAATTATAGTACAAGAACATAGTATGTTCCATTATTGTATCAATACACGTCTGCAGTATATTCTTTTCCCCATTCTTCCTTTCTGAGATCATCAAAACATTTACAGAATAAAAAATGATAATTGTAATTTTTTACTTGTTTACTTTTCTTCTGTATTTTCTGAAGATAGTATACAATTGATCTTATATACTCCATCTCATCTTGGCCTTTGCTCATTCACTATTTTGTTATTTTGTTTGTCCTACTTCGATAATGCTTCTTATGAAGAAAATAAAGGTATACTTTGCTATGATATTCTTGCCTCATTAAAGTTATCAAATCATTGAGGTTTGTTTAAAAAAAAAGAAAAGAAAGAGGATGTTAAATCTCAGGACATCTTATCTCTTTAGGATTCAATTAATTCTGATAATTTCATAGCTTTTAGAACAGTTAGATAAATATTATGTTAAATTAAGAAAGCTGCAAAATGAGCTAAATCAATTGACACTCTTAATTTCACTCTTAATCTCAACTCTGCGAAGTTTATTTTTTTTATCAAGGTATATAATAGAAGTCATTTGCGAATAATAAGAGAATACATAAGATTTATAAACATTTAACTATATTTATTTTACATTTTTTCTTTTGTTAATTTTAAATCTTTTTTGTATTTATTGAGTTGAGACAAATTTTGGAGTCCAACTATCATGATTCTTCAACAGAATATATAACATTGAAGTTATTATTTATGTTGTTTAAACACCTGAGGGTGTAAAGAGTTTGAAGAGACTCGGTTTAGAAATAATACTTGTATTTTACTAAAATTCCTAATATGATGTCAACATCAAATCCAAAAACAAACAAATAAAAAATCCAAAAAAAAAAGTAAAAAAATTGCAATTAGATCTGTGATATTAAAGAAAAAAAAAACAAAATAATTAAAAAATATATATACAAATATCAACTAGTCCCAAATTAGTTTGCCTTGAGGGAGAGTGTTGAAATAAAATCTTACATTAGTAGATTAGGAATAAATCAAATCCTATATAAATAACGAAACTTCAATTTAAAATTGGTTAAAGCATTTTTAAACAGAGGTCATTCAAGCTTAACCCAATTTGCTTTTCGACCTATTTAGTTAAAGAAAAACTTGTTAAATATATTTTGAGCGAAGAGAAATTTGTTAAATAAGCATTTTCTGTTCATATTCACCTTTTATCGTAATAAAAATTGGTTACTTGTATGTTAGGAATTAGATTGACCATAAATAGTTAAAGGATAAAATAAGATAAAATCTCAGTTTTTTTTATATCTTTATCTTCGTTGTTTATTTGCTCTATTAAACAAAGAATTATTCAAAGCATGTTTTAAAAATAAAAGTAATTAATTTATAAAACAAAACTAAAACAAGCGAAATTTAAAACTACTTATATGTATTATACATGCTAATTATATTTATGTTTTGATCCCAAGGAAATGCTAGACAATTTTGAAGTAGTTTGCATTTTTTTCTCATTATTTGCAGGTTTTTTTTTTATTGTAATTTTTTTTTTTTAAATGTTAATCCAACCATTTAAAGCTAAGAATAAGCAATCAAAAGTAATAAACAAGAATATTATCAACACATTATATTATTATAAAGTGGTGCACATCATGAATGCTTTTCCTGCTCATAAACTTGGATATTATTATTATTATTATTGTTGTTATTATTATTATTATTTTATTTGTAGAATATAAAAAATCATTATCAACAAATTTTTTAGCAGACTTTTTCTAATATATTTTCTTATTAATATACATTTCTGGTACACTGCACATTTATAATGAAATTAAAATAAAATAAAATTTAAAATAAATAGATATTTAATTATCAACAAAAAATATTTAATCATTTTAAAAAAATATAAATAAATAATTTTTAAATTTTAAAAATAAATTATAAAAATCTAAAATATAAATGAAAATTAAAAAATTAAAAGAGAACAAGCATAATGATGCTATTATTTCTCTAAAATTTTTTTGCAATGAATACTGAATTGCAGGTTGCAGCTTGAGAGCTTTTTCATTTTTCTTTCCCTTTTGGTGCCAAGAAAATGGTGTAATCACATGCTTCGAAACGAAAGCACACAGAGAGAGAGAGAGAGAGAGAGAGAGAGAGAGAGAGATGAGGTTTGTGAATTACGTAGCACAATGGAAAAGCGCGGCAAAGGAAGCGTTGGATCGCACTGCAATCGCTGCCAAGTTCCTTTGTTGGCTTCACATAACGAGCAACTATCTCTGTTCCTCAACTAACGTATTCACTTCAAAGACTCAACCCTTTCTCTTCCTCTTCATGCTGTTTCAATACCCTTTTCACTCAAATGCATAATCGTATGCTTGCAGGTCGAAGGGCCTAGCATGCTCCCCACCCTCAATGTCGCCGGCGACGTCGTTCTCGTCGACCACATCTCTCCACGCCTCGGTATCATTGCTCATGGCGATTTGGTTCTCGTTCGCTCCCCTGTCAACCCTAATCGGAGCATCACCAAGCGCGTTGTGGCCGTCGAAGGGGACACCGTTACTTACTTTGACCCTTCGCATGTTGATGCTACACAAATTGCTGTGGTGTGTGTGCTTAATGGTTTGTTCTTCATTTGCTCCTATTGCAATATTAATCTCTTTTTTTTTCTCTTTTTTTGTAGCGCTTGATTGTTAAAATGTACCTACTTGATGGTTTTGTTATGTTAGAATAAATAAGCAAATATGAGAATTCAACTTTTACTATGGGTGCGTTTGGATGAGCTTATAGAAAGCTTATGAAAATAGCTTCTCTAATAAGTTTTTTTTTTTAAAAACTTTTTTCAATAAGCATTTTCATATAACTTATTAGTAAGCTGATTTCTGAGTTTTATAACCAAATTCATGGCATAAACGCTTTATGCAACGAAAAATTATTTAATAAATGCTTAATTGAGCTGTTACTCAAACATATCCTATATGTAAATGTATAATTGTGATGGCTTGATTGTTTAATCATGTTGGATCGTTGTGAGTAGAGGCAGGTGTGGGGATTACTTTGGTCATGAGATTGAAAGCCATTGGTTAGTAAGTTTGATTTATGATTTGCAAAAGGTTGTTTATGTGTTGTGTCCCATTTAGATTAGTCTTTTTGGCTGTTCATTCATGATTCAACTGATTTGGATGCCTGGGCGTTTTTATTAGTGAATATTTCCTACTTCTTCCACGTATATACTATAAAAAGTACAGTTCATGCCAGGTGATGGTTCAATGGTGCCACAGCTGCCCCTAATCCCATGTTTAAGATTAACAGCTGAGTCCTAAACTTGATGGCATGCATTTCTCTGTTTTGCTCACTATGTTATCATTGTCGTTTATAATTGACTAGTTATGTTACTTGAAATTTCACTAGGCTTTAGGCGGAGACAATTATTTATTTATTTATTTTTAAATTATAAAATAATATTTTGTATAATACAATTATAGTTTATTATAATCCATACACCCTGATTTACTCATGGTTGCTAAGATCCATGTCAATTTTATCAGAATATTCAATTCTTTTTGCTGAGTCTTAATACACTAAAATTACTTATTAACTTTGTTTTTGATAGAAGTTAATAATTTATTACACAGTTATCTTATTTGTTTCCTGAGATCTTTCCCTATGTTTGGAGTTTATGTTTGGTGGGGAGCTTTGCTTTCTCTTTTTTCATTATTTTATCTAATTGCTATTATAAGTTTGATTTATTAATCTTTTTTTCCACAGGTGCCAAAGGGGCATGTTTGGATTCAAGGGGATAATGTTTATGCCTCCCTTGATTCACGGCATTTTGGTCCTGTTCCATATGCTCTTATAGAAGGAAAAGTCTTTTTACGGGTAACTGTTGCCCCTGATACCATATTCTTCTACATTTTAAGGATTGGTTCATTGGGTTTCATTCCTTAATAATTTGAGAGTGAGATAAGGTAGTAATGATACTAATATGCTAATACATTACTCTAAGTTTTTTTTTTCTTTTTACTTTCATTTTTTCCCATTTCTCATATGCATACCTGGAAACATCTAATTCTATAGTTGTTACTTGTAAGTGTAATGTATAAAGCAATTGCAGATTTTTGTTGCTGATCTAAATGTCATTTACTAGACTAATTTGATTTATCATTATAGTGAAGGCATCATTTTCTGTGTGCAACTTGGTCAATCTGATTAATTATTTGTACCCTTTTATGCTTTACTACTTTTATTTTACTTAATAGTAAAAAAAATGCATATTAGTTAAACAGTTGTTGGACTGTGTCAAATTGTATTTTTCTTTTTGATGATTTTGAATCTTGTGTTAAAGACATTTCAAATACTCTATGTTATTAGGTATGGCCATTTGATAGCTTTGGATTGCTAGGTCAATGAAGATATTATAAAGGTACTTTACTTTCAGTTCTGTGTTTAAGATGTCTGCTTTTGTCTTTTATTTAAAAAATGTATTCTGGTCTTGAAATGAAGATATAACCTTCACTATAGAAAATGAAGTCTTTCATACGGCCTTCTAAATATTACTATCTATATTTAATATTTCCCATTTTTATTCCTATGAATGCAGATTATATGTTGGAATGTTTAAGGAGGGATGCAAGCAACACATTCTTTCTTTCTAACATACCATCTCCTATTGGTTGAGATTTATTAGGAATCATGAAATCATTAGTGAGACTTGTAAAATAGGATTGGGACCTAGAGGTGATCAAACTAATTACCTGACCCGAATCAGGTTAACCAGTTTTGGTTCCATTAGACTGGGTCAAAAATACTATTTCTTATTCAGGCTTTAAAATAGAAGACCAAGCCAAGCCATGCTCGAACCTGCATTTTACAATTAAATAATCAAGTTGTCTTGAAGCTCTTGGATTGGTCGGGTAAAAAGGTCTATAGTTAAGTTGGGCCTAAACTTAAAGCTCAAGCTCTATGCTTTTGTAATTCTTAATAAATTTTAATCAACAATAAAGAACATGTTAAAGAGTGTGCTATTAGTTTCTCTCATGTTTAAATTCTATATCTCTTCTCATGATGTAAAGGCAGAGCATCTATTGCAAATAAATAGACTGAATTGGTAAGGTTATGAAGGTAACAATACATAATCTTTTGTCAGTTTTTCCTCTCTATCTCTTGGGAAGAGAAGGTTGACTTTGCTAGCTCTGCTATATCCTGTAGCGAACTTCCTGAGTAACTGGAATGTGAAAATGTCTTCTAATCAGGGAGGAATAAAATTTATGAGTTGCTTTGGAGTTGGAAGGATTAGTAGGACAGAATAATTGGCCGTCCTCAAAGAAATTGGAGGCAGAAGAAAATTATTAGTATTAACTTTTGTTAAACTTTTATGTTGTCAGAAGCAAGAGAGTAAAGAAATAGTTATTGGCAGACATCAAAAAGAGGAATAAAGTTTGTAAGCTGCCAGTAGGGTGTGAGCCTGGAGGTACTGAGGATGAGTGGGTTTGAACCCTGACAGTGCCCTGCTTAACCCCCTGCCGAAGAGATAGAGATAAGTAAAAAAGAAAAGATATCAATTCTGTTGGTGTACAATTGTTTAGATATTAATAATAATAATAAGTCTGTAATATAGCTTTAACCGTAACAAACTTGCAATCCAAAAGAAAAAAAAATTGTAAAGGAATCTACGCCACCAAGTTGAAGCTTTCTTACCTGCATGTAAAGAATTTGAATATCCTACAATGATGACATGGTATTGGCACTAATTTCTTGTACATGTTTTGATTATTGGCTGATTTGACCATTTAAGTGGAACCACCACTGCTTATATGCAATGATTCCTTTACATGAATGGTAATCGCAATAAGTTCCTCCGCTCTTACCTATTTTTTGCTAGTTGTCCTCTTTCGTTTGCCAATTTATTGAACAGTGCTTATGGTCAGGTTAGTCATCCTGTGAAATGCAACTAATTATACTTGCATGGAGCTTCAGTGATTTACATTAAGGTGGCTGTTTGCAAGGAAAACACCTAAGGAGCATACTCCCTTTTTGCAACATTGGGAACATCGTTTGGGGTCTGTTTGAGTACTGTGTTGTGTGGATTACTGATCAAAGAATAGAATGCAAACTTGTATGCAGAATACTTGGTTAGGAATCATTCATTTACTCATTTTTTGTTAACAATATGCCAGGGTTGGTTATCTTTGTTTTTCCATTACCCAATGTCAATTTATAATATTTTGAAAATAATATACTTGAAATTCAAAGAAGTACTTCTGTTTTGCCTTTCAATTTAGTTATTTCATTTGTTAGGTTGAATCTTGCTTTTTATGTCTCAATGAGGGTTGTCAAGAACCAACTCTCTGTGGTAAGGGCTTAATGCTTTCCATTAAGAGAATGATAATGCACAGACCTAGATGATGATGTTAAAAATCACACCTTGTTTTTTTTTTTTAAAAAAAATTCTTTCAAAGGATAGAATTTTATTTTATTTTTTCCATTTTCTTTCCAAAGGAATAAGGAATGGCAGTTTGTATATCTCAAACTTAGAGAATGTTGTTAAAAATTGATCAGAATAGGACAGATACTCTCACCTAAAAGCAAATGGGAGCTTTTGTGGTGGACACTGGAATCATTCTCCATTGGTCGGAAGTAATCATGTTCTAGTTGGGTAGAATAACTATAGGTTGTTTCTCTATATTTAATATAATTGTTTTCATGGGAACTCGAACTATGAGAGTTTATTTTAAATACATAACAATATATAAATGAAAAATTTTAAAAGCATGTTTAATTTTTAAAATATTATTTTATTGATTATAAAATTATATTAAAATATAAAATAAATATACTTAAAGCATTTAAGAATTATTTAATTGATAGGAGTTAATTTTCTTGGTGATACGTAAATGTTCATAATGTTTTGTATTGACTGAATTAATTTGAGCACAGATAAAAAAAATTAATAAAAATAAAATTTTATTCGGAATGATAAACTAAATGGAGAAAAAAATGTATCGATTTAATTTGATATGAAATATTAGAAGACCATGTAGCCAAATGAGGATAGTCCGTGCACAGAAATATAAAATAAAAGGAAAAAAAAGTATAAAGAGAGATATAGATAGTTAACTTAAAGAGTGTACGAAATTACGATTTGAAAAAAAGTACAAGTCTTGGATCATTATTAACAATATTATACAATGGAAAATAACCCTAAATGTGTGTTGGTGTTCAATAATGGTAAAAATCATATGTTGTAAGGATATATGTATATATACTTAAATTATTTTTTCTTGAATTTTTATGTTAATATTTTTTATTTATACTTCACTTTTATTCATTTTAATTTTTTCCTCAAATTTTAGCTATTTATACTTTTATTTTTATTATTTTAAAGTATTAAGTTTTTCCTATAATTTTGACTGCCTATATTTTTTTAATTATCTATAAAATTAATTATTTTTTCTTAGATTTTTAAAATTTAAATATTTTTTAAATTTATTATGTCTAATATTTTTAAAAAATATAATACATGTATAATACATGAAATACTTGCTAATTGTATAAAACGTGAGAATAATCAATTCAGCGAGATTTAACACAACGGTGTAGGAAATTTATATTAAGGTTTAAACACAATTTACATTTTTCTACTGTCTTTGTATAACCTATTAATTAACTTTTTAATGGTTAACTTAATGTGAGGAGTATGAAATAATCAGAGGAGAAACTTTTATATAAAAAAACCCTACAATTGAGGGCAAAATAGACATTTGATACAACTCATTTATCTTTATATAAACAGTGACAATCGCCGCAAGGTATTCAAATGCCTTTGAGAGAACCGGACGTAGCACAACGACTATGGCGTCCGAGTTCCGTTGCGGGCACATAGAAAACCCTAAGATCTTTCTCTTTTTTTCTCTCTGCAATTTTATTCCTAATTTTGCAGAAGTAAGGGAAGGATTTACACATTGCTTTTGCTTCATCTTAATCGTCTCTATGGCAATTTCTATTTTTCTTATTTGCGTCTTTGCAAAACTTGTGCCGTTCCAATGGGGTCTCTGCAAATGGTGTTTGAGATCTCAATTTCACCCGGCCAACATCTGATGCTTTTTTGGGGCAGCCTCAAGGATTTTACATGTCTTCCCTCGTGTTTTAATTCAGGGAAACTGCCCTAAATCTCATTTCTCTTCTTTGTATTTTCTAAATTCACAAATTACCAAAACGAATTTTTTTTGTTTCACATTTATAATCTGATGATTTTGGGATGGAATGTTGCCTGCACAATAGTTTAAACGATTTTTTAATGTATCTCTGAATTCCCAAGAGACAAGATAAAAATTTAATTAATAATACAACTTTATTTTAAAGTTACAGCAATTTGTATTACTGTGTGGTTTTTAATGTATTAAATTTGTACTAAATATTTTACTATTATTAGTTATTTATCTTTTAGGGGTTAACAGAATATTTTAAATAAAAAATTATTTATTTTTAAAATTTTATCTACTAAAAGGTTAAAAAAAAGCTTTTTTAAATGCTTGACTAGTCTCTATTATTCTCGAAGGCCAAAATTAGTTCCTTGTGTGATGAAAATATGGTATCATCCAAAACACGATATTTTATAAACTCCAAAAATAAGATGGTAATTATATAAGAGTGAGACTCTTCCACCAACAGTACAGGGTTTTGAACCAGAAGTCCAGTACACATTTATGAAGCAACAATAAAATCAGTATTATAAAGTGTATGTTGCTTATTATTACATTTGAGCACTTCCACCGACATTATACAACCAAATCATACGATAAGAGCTTGTCATTGTTTTTATATTTCCACTTTACGGAGAATGACATGAGCACCATACCGGGGCTGAAGAGTAATTATAGTTGTTGGAGCATGAGTATAGGTTGGAGAGAGTTCAAATGAGAAATTTTGTAACATCATTGACAGCGCAATCTTTGCTTCCAACTGGGAAAAGTTTTGTCCAATGCAAATTCTAGGACCCCATCCAAATGGAAAAAATGAAACTCTTCCATTTGTAGCCTTCGAAACCCCTTCAGAAAATCTCTCAGGATTGAACTCCGTAGCATCATCACCCCAGAGTTCACTATCATGTTGAACCAAAATTGTTGGTAAAGAAAGCTGCACTCCAGCAGGTAATGTTAGGTTTCCAAGTTTCGTATCTTTGTGAACATCTCGAGCAAGACCAACTACTGGTGGGTATAACCTAAGAACCTCATTCAAAATCATGGTGACCTGTTACAAAAAATATTCATGCTATTAATGAAGAGTTTTTTTAAAATCAATCCTTAGTTCAAACATCTAAAAATAGTATATTTTTTATTGAAAAATAACACTGATATTATATTAAGTTATAAAAGTGTAATGAATATTATTTTCCAATAAAATCTTAATAGATAATAGTGCAAACTTACAATCTTAAGGTGACTTAGCCCATCAAAATCTGGTTTTTGGTTGCCAAAAACTTGCATGACTTCTTCCCTTGCACGTTCTTGCCAATCAGGGTACCTACACAATAAAATTATTGTCCAAACAAGCCAAACTGAAGTGGTTTCTTGCCCTGCAAAGTAGAATAGCTTGCATTCCTCGATTACATCTTCCAGATTCATTCCAACATTCTTATTGTTTCCGTGTTCCTGAATTTCCTTGTGATTTGACTCCAAAAGTATATCCAACAAGTTGTTTTTAGTGGCTTCACCTGCTTTTAGTGCCTTTTCTCTCTTGTTAATCATATCTATAAGCTTTGCTTTTATATCTCTATTAATTTTCTTCATCCTTCTATGGGTAGGAGTAGGTAGAAGCCTACAAGTGAACAAAATCAATCCCTTTATTATCATGATATGAAAGGAATGTACTTTTCTACATTAACCAGCCTTCTAATGTTGGTTCTGTCAAACAATGTTCGGTTTAACAACTTCAATTTTACTATAGCAAGTTGCAATTAAGTTACTTCATCACATCTTTCCATCAAAATAATAGGTAAATGAAAGCACACTGACAAATTCTTAATGATAAATCTTATTTGGTAATTGTTTTGTCCAGAGTGAAAAAGTTTCCTATTCAAGTTGAAATTGAGAGGTATCACATAGCCATGTCACAATTTCAAGTAATTTCTGATTCTTGACGATTAGTATTATATACCAATCAATGTTTCCTTTTATGAATTTATGGTTAGTTTAGTTAAATAGAACTCATACAAAGAGCTTGATTGCTCAAATGATAAGTCTGTCAAGCAGTCAGAAATACATGCTAGTCTTACCTCCACCCAGGGATGTAAACTCTCAAGATAACTTTCATTGTAAGATCAACTTGCTCTTTTAGAAGTTGGAATATTTGTCTACCTTCTTCATAGCTACTTCCGAATGCTGTTCGGGAAATAACATCACAACTCAAATTTTGAAGAGAAGGCCATACATCTGTTTCACAGGATCCATCTGAAGACAACATTCCTTCCCATTTGCTAATCAGATCATTGCAACATTGAATGAATAATGGTAACATATTCTGTGATGTAATAAAGAAATAGCAAGGTGTTAAAATATCCCACGTCAAATTTAGCACATAAAATAGGCTTAACATCATGTTACTGAATAACCAAACTAATGTTGCTTGCAAAAGTGTGTTGTAGGATATAAACTAGCTCAAGCTTTTCCATACCAAATATTTTTCTCAAGAGAATGCATATTTGGGGAGAGTAATTCTTCCCTTACAAAAGAAAAAAAATCATAAATACACGAGAGCATGCTCACAAATTGCATTTTTACAATTTTTTTCAAGCATGTATTCAAAAGGCTCACAAGTCAACATATAAGATCTATATCTAGTAATGGGAAGCTAACCTTCAAATTTTCTAATTTGAATGCAGGGTTGATTATCTTTCTGTGCTTGATCCATTTTTCTCCTTCATGGCTTACAAGACCAGGAGCTAGAAACCTGATAAGCGGACTCGTAGTAGGCTTTGTGAACTCATTAATCTTATTAAACACATCTTTGATTACTTCAGGGTCTGTGATGGTCACCCTTGGTGATGGTCCAAGCCAGATAAAAGAATTCTTGCCTACACCATCAGCAACTTAAATTAAAGATGCACAAAAAGGAGAAAAGCATTAAGAATTTTAAGAGAATGAGAAACTTTTCTGTGTGGGATATTATAGAATTTGACATGAATTATAAATCATGTAACCGTTGGGTACACTCTAAAGTGTTTGTATTTTCTAAAGGATTTTTGCCAATTTAAAAGATCACCAAGTGGATCATTGTGTTGGTTAGTATTGCTCAATGAAATGACTTGCTTAAGAAGAACTAAAGGCTTTATATGTGTGTAGCTATGAAGCCTAGATACTTGGTAGGACACGGATACGAAGATACGAAAAAAATTTGAAATTCAAAATACGATACGGCTTATATACGTTCACGTGAATTTAAAGAAATAAAATACTTTATACATATACAAAATATTTATAAAGAGATATTGATAATTCATTTATATTAATGTGTTATATTTGGATATCAATGATCACATCTAACAAAAAAAAAATACATGAGATCGTATTTTTCCTTTGTCTAAGTAACTAAATCAAAATATTTGTCTTACTATAAACACATAAAAAATTACATACTTTACCCCCTATTTAAATTAGAATTCTACAAAAGAATTAGTAATTCTATCCAAAAGAAATATAGAACTATCACAAAAATAAGGTACTATCTTTATACTATTTAATTCTATTTGAACTGTATCGAATGATTAGGAGTCATATTCCAGTCATATCTAAGTCATATTAGGTTAGAAATTAGTTTTTAAAAATAAATTAAACTATAGATGCTTTTGAAATAAGTATCTAGATGTATTGGACACGTATCGGTACTAGATATGTGTGTCAGATACACATGCTGTTTTGAAGTGTCTGAGCTTCATAGGTGTGTAGGGCACATATCAAACAAAAAGACTGTTTTTATGTGAGATATAGGAGAGTAAACATTGACTATTAGATCTTACTATCATGTGACTTTGTAAATTAATCACGTCACATTAATTAACCTTTAATCTTAACCATCCATATATGATTATACAGTTAAGATTTGCTCCTTTTATACTTGTTAAGAAAATGGCTTTCTCACTAGACGCATACCATAAATGGATTTCTAAGTATATGTTCCCATACGCATAAACTAAACAAACATAACTCACTGCATAAGGTTCTGCAAAATGGATCACCATGTAGAAAATAAAAAGGAAAAAATATAAATACATCGCAATAGTTTTTCCTTTTCAATGCAGTGGTAGTGAGAAGCTGAATTACACAGCACAAGAAACACAGAGATGCCGAGAAGAACATGTCTTGTAAGCATCTAGTTTACAAGGAGATCCTGTGATTGAAACGGTGGGCTGTTTGCTTCTATGTTCTAATTTTCCAACTTGCTTCATCTAAATCTTTAACTTCAAGCTAGCAATTTCATGCAAAAATTTGATCTTATATATGCAGATTGAGAATTGTGACCCTTCCTCTCCCATTCAAAAGAAAAAAGGAACAAATACTTTTGGTGCAGTATGGTTTTCCTTTTTTAATCATATTTATAACTTGCCTGCCTACATCTTTGCCTCATTATGAAAAAAGGAAAATTTTATTAATATGATTTAGTTTAAATTTTTGTCTTGCATTCTTCCAATATTATGTTCTTCATCCATCCTATTATGCGATGTCAATTTCTAGATTATTGAATATGCAACTGGTTTCTTGTCATTTGTATTGAGGAAAATAGGCTTACGCAAAATTTGATGCATTCAATTACTCATGGGAAGTGACGACTGGTGTTGATTGCATGCTTCATGTAGAGTACAAAAAGTAGTCAACTATCAGTGTTTTGGCTGTTCTTGTTATCTCAAATTATGTGACAGACTTAGTAAATGGATTCTTCATATAGATGAGCAAAATTTAAATTTTGTATAATATATACATAACATATGATGGATAAATGACCTAAGCAAATAATTAGTTGAACAACTTTGGCATCAGTCTGAAATTTTCTCCCATTGAGGTTACTTTGCACTGCTGCAACTGTCTCTTCAACTAGCAGGAGTTATAGGTATTGTTATTCAAGTCTAACGTGCTTAAAACTAACCAATAAATTTCGAAATACTAGCTCATCAATTAAATTCAGTGCAACGACTTTGTAGCTTTTACAGTTTATGAATCAACCTAGTGGGTACACAGTCAGTTTATATCATTTCGTAGGTTGAAGATCTAATCCTATAATTTCATAAGCGGGAAATTTGTTACAAACTTGTGGGGAAAACAGTCCTGCATTTCAAGTAACTATGAAATAGACATGATACCCATGTAATTCACATTAGGATGCTGCTCTTTATCTTATATTGAGAAACACTGGTTAATTATTATTAGTTTATAGCAACAAGAACAACAAGTAAATCTTAACTTATTATATGAGATTGGCTACATGTATCAATCAACATCATGGAACTCAACCGTTATGCCCCCACTGATTTTCTGATGGTGAGTCTTTAGTAATTAGTTTGATACTTTTTTAAAGAGAAAAAGGAAGAAGTAAAACAAAACAAAAGGTCTGTAGTCTTCACTAGAAAGCATTTTAAAAATGACAGCCTAGCTTAAGAAATTTGGTAACGGGTTGTAATAATTATATGACAAATGCTAACCAGTGGCACTGGTTAAGGAATTAAAAGCAGAAAAATTTTATTAGAAAATATTATAAATACACATTTTCCTTGATTTTTAATGCATTTCAATGTAATTTTTAATATAATTTTAATCCTTAACCAGTACCTTAAAAACATTGGTAATCAGTCTACTTGGAAAGTCGCAGCTAATTATTTTAGTAAAGACAAAAGTGTTCAAATAAAGATTATTATATTTTAAAACGTGGGTTTAATGATGGTTTTTTCCACAACAAACATAACTTTTTAAAAGGTCTCTCTTAAAGTCGTGTGTTTTAGATCAACAAAAGTTAGTCCACTTAGTAAGAATTAAATTAGTATCCTGCAAGGACGCGGATTCAAATTTCACTATTAATATAAGGACCTCATTGGTGGATGATTTGTAAGTATCTCTGTAAGCATTTTTTGAGCCTCGAGTCCTCCAAACCCAACTCATTAAAGTCGTGTTTTAATGATGCCTAGTTCCTTTTATTTTTATTTTTTTACGCATATGAGCTTATCAATAAAGCATAAAGATAGGTGATTTTGATCGGTAAATAGCACCGGTAACACTTGAAGAAACACTTTAGAGTTTCTCTTAAGTTTTATCCTTGTTTAAAATCCCTCAATTTTGATAAAGCCCAACTAGGCTAAAGATAGGTGAATGGGATTTAATCATTTAGAAGTGTAAATATTGGTCACTTTTAACAGAATAGACAAGGCTTTTTTCCTCAGTTTCATTGACCGAAAATATGGTTCTATTAAAAAATAAAAAATCGCTCGCTATCATTCAACATGTTTTAGTAAATCATGTTTTACTCGCATTTAATTATCAATTTTCTGCAGAACAGAAAACAATCAACAAAAGCAAATAGGAGTAAAAAAAGAAGTACCATATTTGTTGACACTCTGATAGACAAAGGCAAACACTCGGGGCACTAAGTCATCAGAGAGACTCATGGGTTTTGACATTGATTCTTGTCGTGTCTTCAAAAACTCCTTTGAGTCTCCAACCAAAAGTCTGTAAGAATTGCCTTGAAGACCTTGCTCTCTTAGGAGTCTCTCTAGTCTCTTTGGCCTTAGCCATAACCAGTTCAGCACCTTCCATCCCCATGCAAAAGCAAGTATTAGTATGAGAATTGTGCTTGCAGTTGTTGCCCCTGCTACTTCCATTTCTCTCTGTGTGTTCAGTGCAAATTTAATGAATGATGAAACTACAGGCACAACCAAAGGCTTCATACATGCGGAGGAAAGACCTATGTGGTTTGCTTGGCTAGGCCTTCTCTATTATCCCTTTTAATTTGTCGTATTTTGAGTGTGATTTTATTACTCTTCTTTTTATAAATAGAGAAATGTTACCCTTTTTAAACCACTTTTGATAATTTATTAAAATTATAAAAAATTATTTTTATTTTTATTTAATAATATTTTAATATTTTTATAATTTTTAATAAAAAATTTATTTAATAATTAAAAATATGTTTTTCATATTTTTTTTAAGTGTATTGTTACTTTAAAATGTTTATGATCACATTTTTAAATAATTTTATATAAAATATTTTATTATTGATTAATTAAATTGTAATAATATTTAAATAAAAAATATCAATAGACATCACGATTTAGACAACTCACTCTTATCATCCTTATGGACCTTATCCTTGTTTTGTCTTTCGTCCAACGATGCTTTCGATGCTTATTATTCAGTTTATCAATTTGTTAAGAATGAATTTGAGAAATTTAATTATTAAATTATATAACATAAGTTCAATGATTATATTTGTTAAATTTAAATGAAATAAGTATTTATAGTTTATATAATTTTATAATTAATATTTATTTTATTTCTAAAAATATAATAAATTAAAATAAAAATTAATTAATATCAGATTCATTAAATAAATAATTTTTCGTATTAATAAATGTACGTCCTTGCACAAAGTTATTACTAAAAATACATTTATCAACTCTAATTTAATATATATATATATATATATATATATATATATACTTAAATAGACGATAATAATTTATTTTAAAAAAATGTTATATGTTGATAAATATAATCTAAACATTCTTTGGTCATCGTATTTATAATTTTTATATAAATTATAAAAATTATATGCAAAATAAATAAACCACTTGCTATTTTTCATTTAAAATAAAATATAAAGATTGAAAAATTAAAAATTTAAATTATTACATGTTTTACTAAAATTATAATAATAAAAAATTTAAATACTTGACTTCATAATAATATCAAATTCTATTAATTAAATGTAACATACAATTAATTTAACATTATTATTAAATATGAATTTTTTTAAACAAAATATATTGCAAGCAGTAAAACAGAGATGTTTCACCGTAAAGATTAATAAAGCCACGTTCATGGAGAATTCTAATATCCTCATTTTTTTTTGTAAAAAGTAAGGGAAAGAAAACTTTTGTAAAAGTTATCATATATTATAGACCGTTGATTTTAATCGAATAGTTAAGAATAAACTATAGGATACAAGTTATTCAAGTTAGATTTATGAAATGATACATTGGTAATTTCATGTTTCTATTCTTTCTTTGTGTTATCTTTATCTTTTTCTTTTTGGTGGTCGTCATCTTGTTCTCTTCATCCTCAGCGTTATGTTGCTGTTTTCATTATTTTTTTTCTGTCATTCAGTGTGAGATCATAAAGGATTAACAAATTGCAGAACTCTTTATTTTAAATTGAAAGGTGAAAAGGTCAGTTTATACAAGTTTATAGTATAAGTCGTGGAATAAAGTAAGGTGAACAACAATGTCGAGTTGTGAAGATTCAAGTTAGAGTACGGATGAAGACAATGTTATCATTGTTAATACATCCGTTTAATAACTTACAAAGATTGGTGGAAACAAAGTCAAAAGAAATGTGGAGGGTTTATGGAAAATGATCATCGTCATCCTCATCAATCAAGAATGATAGTTTAATTTTTGTGTTTGTGTTGTTTATTAGGTTATTTTTGTGTTGTAAATTACAATCTATTTCAAAGCCTGTTAGTGAAAAAAACACGTGATAATATTTCAAAGACATAGTCATTTCATCGTAATTTGAACTCTTATTCATTCAAGTAACGTTTATGAAGGGTGCTTAATATAGCTTAGTTAAGATTCATTAACATCGATGGTCGATACACATGTGGCTAAATTGTTAATGTTAATGTCAACATATCTGGATTGAACGAATAAACTGACATTATTTTATGTCAGTTGGTATACAGACGATTATATGACATTTGCATACTTAAACGGTAGGTCAAATATAAAATATAATAAAGAATGAAAAGTATTATACAAATTAGGTGTAAGTCTTTGCAAAATTGGATAGTTTTTGCAACTGGTCAATAGTTAACAAATGTAAATTTGTTTACTATCTGTAACAATTAAGTCAAACATATTTGCATCAGTTGGATGGTGAACTCATGTTATAAAATGCGCCCTTTTTACATTTAACAATTTCACTGTATTTGTATCAGTTCTCTGCTGAACTGATATCATTTGTAGCTGCATTTGTTTGTACATCGTCGGTTAAAGAACTAATGAGAAAATTTTCAAAGCAAAACTTGTTTTCTATTATATTTATAACAACTTCAGAATAAGTGCAGGAATGGAATCGGAACGGCTACATAATTTTAAACACAATTTACTGGGGTTTGTGCATTACACTAGTGGCACAACCAACAATGAATATTGACATATGCATAGGTGTGACAGACATTAATAAATACAACATTAACCTCCTATAAAGGAAAGAGTTTAATGATAAATTGGAATTAATTCATTTTCACTAACAAAGTTTGGTAGAGGTTAAGATGTTCTAAATATAATAGTTACAACATAACGTGGTATAGTTACATAGAGAGTAAACTATCAATCAAACTTATGACAGGATCATCGTATAATTAATGTGGTACAACATGAATTTTAAGGTGTTGCACTGTATATTATAGAAATACTGTGCATGTAATCATCGTCATACGATACAGTGATGATGGGAAGTCAAAAACAACAACAGAGGGAGGGGCAATTTTAAAATATATATATATGCCTTCTTCCAGAAATGCATATTTCTTGCAAATCCTTTGTAATAAAAACGTGACCTGTTCAACAAAAAAAGTGTTGCCACAAGAACCCTCCCCTGCAAATAACATAGACAACACAAACAGTCAACCTACCGACATTGATGACCTTGGTCACTAACGTAAAAATAATAAAATATGGATAGTTTCTACAACTGTTCATTACTTAAAGAGATGTTAAATTGTCATCACTGTGAAACAAATGACTAGTAGACTTTTGCATCGGTTGTGTGATAAAACCAATGTCATTAGGCGACTACCTTTTACATTTGTGCATGGACTCTATTTAGATCAGTTGTGTGGCAAAACTGATGTCATTAGGCAATCACCTTTTACATATGCGCATAGACTCTATTTACATCGGTTGTGTGGCAAAACTGATGTCATTAGGCAACTACCTTTACATATTGTGCATATACTCTATTTATATCGATTGTGTGCTAAAACTGATGTCAGACTACCTTTTTCATATTGCACATACACTGTATTTAGATATTGGGTGCTAAAGTAATGTCTTCCCTTTACAATTGTCTCGTTACTATATCGTGTTAACCATAACTACATCGAATGTATGGAGAGTATGATATTAATGCAGTTTCATATGAGTATCGCAAAATTTACTTTCAATAGGTAGAATATTTACCTGCTAAACGGGTACGGGTATGACATATATATATATATGCTACTTATGTAATAGAGGCCTTAACTCAAAAGTCCATTATAGGAGGGAATTAGGGTTAATACTCAATACTTTATATATTTGGCTAAGTTCTCTCTATAGTCATTAACAATTATGTAATCATATGAATTACTCCACAACTTGTCCTATCAAGAGTTGTATTTTAAGAGTGTAATTTACATATAAATATCTAACCTATCATTTCTCATAGGATTGAGAGATCAAGTTCAATAACTTTCATAACAAGTAAGTCTTTTAATTAACAAGTAAGTCTAAAACTCTATTATAATAATTATTAATATTTTTAATTATCTTTATTTTTCTAATTTCATATAATCTTGTTTGAATAATTTTTTACTTACAATGGAGCAACTAAGAATTTAAGAAAAAAAAAATATAACTCACTTTTAGTTTTTAGAAATTTTTTTGTGGATGTTTTTATAAAATTTTAGTTAAGATAAAAATTTCACTATTTATTTTATGTTTTATGTTTTTTACTCAGTTTAGAGTTCTTTTATGGGCCATAATTATTTTATTTTTTTGAATAGATAAATTTTTTATTTTGAATATATATTTGAGCAATATTATCTTTCAATTTATAATTTTCTATTTTTAAATTTTTTTATGCAAAATAAAAGGTTTAAAAATTTAATATAAATATTTATGTTACTCAACTAAAAGAATGCATATTTAAAGATATAAAAAATTATCTATTTAAATTTGTTTTACAAGATTAACATAAAAATTATTTACTAATAAACTAAACCATAAAAATAATTTGTTTCATATTTTTAATAGAAAATTTTATTTACTATTTTATATCATTTAATTAGGTTAATACAATTTAATTATTATATGATTAATACAAAAAATTAATTCTTGTTATATTCTAGTTTCTTTTGGTATTGTTAGATAAAAGTAATATGTAAACCTAAAAGATAAGTGTTTGCTCTCATTTAAAGAGCTTAATTTTGATGAAGAGATAAAATAGTTTATGGAAATGTTTCTCCACCAATTTTGGTGTGCAACTTTTTGTTGATATATTTAGATGTGAATAAGATAATTATATATAATATACTATATTAGTTTAAATTTATGATAACTATTTTACCTTTCCCTTTTTATGCTCATTTTTGGTAATCCATGTTCCTCCCTCCTTTTTGGCCTATGTGCAAATGGTTCTGCAATTTAGTTTAAAAGTAACTCTCTTTTTCTTTCGTAAATAGTCCGTCTTTTGCAGTTATTTAGACACTGTGTTATAAAGTTTGCTTAGTTTAATACATAAGAACTAGTGTTTATTGTTATTTTATTTAAATAATATTTGTTTGAAATATTTTTTATAATTATATTAATACTAAAAATATTTTGAATAAAATTTATTTAAGAGACAATAAACATTTTCATAAAAATATATATGCTAGGCTTACAAAATCAATGCCAACCTAGAGTATACAGTTGGAAATGAAAATAGACTAGACTTTGCATAAATAGACGTGACTTGTTTAATAATTTTGAAGTTAATTTTGACTTGTTATTTGTCAAAAGCTTTTTATTAAGCATAGTCTATCTTTTTTAAAAGTTTGATTTGACCTATTAACCTTTTTAATAGTCTACTTCGTATTAAGACATTCAATAGGTTATTAAGCTTCTTTATAAATAAACTATTAAACTATCTAAATAGGTATGTCGTATCAAGAGAATCAATATGGCTCTCTATCTTAGAGAGTATGTAGTAGAGATATTATTCAACTCTAATAAAAAATATTAGAATTTTTAATTTTAAGATTTTATTATTTTAAAATTTAATTAATTTAATATAATATTATAGTATAATTTTTATATAAAATTATTTAATATATTATTACAAATTTTATAAATTTTAAATAAGTCATTTAATAGACCTAATAGACTTTTTTTTAAGTTTAAATCTAACCTAATTAATTAATTAATTTTTTTTAAAAGTCTAAATTAAACTTATTAATTAAATAGGTCAGGCCTAGTTAAGCTTTAAAAAAACTAAGTCATAGACCCTTATTAGACGGTCTGACCTATTTCCATTCCTATATGCAGGTATATACTAAACTGAGTTACTTTGTAATGATATTTAACAAATTCTTTACGTTCTTATTTATAGATACTTGCAAGATATTCAACAAAATTATAATATTATTGATTAAGTCTTAGAAACTCTATATACAATCATATTTACAGAATTCAGCATCAATCGGAAGTTTGAAAGATAATAATTTCGCTTATAAATAATAACAAAAATAATAACAACAACAAAAATAACAAGAAAACTATTAATAAAGACTTTTTCATTATTATTAATGGTATTGTAAAAGTAATGATTCCACTTGTTTTTCATTTCTTAGAATGAGATATTTATAGAAAGACCTTGCATTAACAACTACCACGTTAAACAACTAATGACTCAAATAGCACACATGAAATTATCCATTTTCTTCGATTGATGCTTTCTTTTTGTTTTCTTATTTAGCTTTAAATTTAAGCCTTGTCATAAAGTATGTTGGTGATGGTAGGGAAGAATTCATTTATTTGGTTTCGACCAAAACCAAGGGTGACCCTCACTGATCCTGAGCTAATTAAAGATGTACTTAACAAAATCTATGACTTTTCAAAGCCTGAAGCAAGTCCGCTTGTCAAGTCACTAGCTACAGGCCTTGTAAACTATGAAGGAGAAAAGTGGAATAAGCACAGAAGAATAGTTAGCCCTTCATTTAATTTAGAAAAATTGAAGGTTAGTTTTTCATTACTAGATCTTTTATATCGACTTCTATGTCTTTTGAAAACATGATGACAAAACACTAGGAAATTGAATTTCGAGTGTCTTGTAGTGAAATATATATTTTTTTCTTTTTATAAATATGATTAGATTTAATCTTAATTTTTCTATTGTTTTTCTGTTGGTTTTATAATTTTCATAAATATTAAAACTTTTGAAACAACATTTCTTCTTCTTATGTTAGTCTCTTTTGCTATAAGTTCTGTTCATCTTTTCTGCTCTCTCATGTTCTCTTTATCTTTTCTGCTCTCTCATGTTCTCTTTATCTTTTCTGTTAGCTTGTTCTCTTTGTCTTCTCTTACTAATAAATTGATTTTTTTTCACATCTGTAGGTACCTCTTCATCCTCCTCTCTTCATTTTTTTTGTGCTAACAATTAGTTTTTTTCTTATATATGTAGATACCTTTTCATTCTATGTTGCTTTCTTCATATTTCTGCGCTAACAAATTATTTTTTTTTCATATCCATACATACTTCTTCATTCTCTATTTCTTTCTTCTTCTCTTTGTTAAAGGTGAATCATCCATTTTCTTTTTTTTTCTTTTTTTTCTCTATTAATGTTAAAAATCATCCTACTAATTTTTATTTTTTTTTTCTGTTTGGTTCATGCAGATTTGGATTGTTTGGTTAACACCAATTCTACATTTTGATTTAAACGTAATAATAAATTAATTTTACTTTGCAACAGAAAACTAAAAAAAAATCAATTTCAAATTCAGATTCGCGGTTATACTTTAGAGAGTGATTTCGCGTGAAACCGCTCTCTAATCTTACATCTATACTTTGCACATCAAATAGCACAAGATTTTAGAACAATTTTAAATGCTCTCTAATTTAAAATAGAACCGCTCTCAGATCTTCATTCTGGCGTAGTGAAAGTTGCAATGAAAGTTTACATCCCAGGATATAGGTAAAATTAATATGTGTTTGCGAGTGTTTAATAAACTAAAGTGATCAAGTTTATTAGATGAGATTTTTTAAGTGAACTAACCTTATCATATATTTCATAATGGAATAGATTATTATTAAATAGTATTTATCATTAAGAATCAAAGACATTTGTTTCATAAAATAAATAATTTATCATACATTATGACAGAAGTACGTGGCATCTGTTATTTGCAACTTAAAAAGTAAAATTTTTCATTCAAAATAAAGATACTAGCAAGTAAAGTTTATCATTAAGAATCTATGTATTATATTCAATGTATATTTATCTACAAAGTGTTGTAATGTGAAGAATAGATGTAATTGATCTTCTCAAAAATGCAACTTAGAACAGACAATATACTGCTGGAAAATCAAAACTACGTATAATGTTATTAGAATAGTCACTAGAAGGCTAGTTGATGATATTGGAAAGAGTAGGATTGACTATATATGGTTACTTGCAGATTTCTACCCACTACTATTCATAGAAGAATGAGAGAAATTGACAGGGACATAAAAGCTTCACTTATGGATATGATTCACAAGAGAGAGAAAGCACTAAAGGCAGGTGAAGCTACTAAGGATGATTTCTTAGGTATATTATTGGAGTCAAATCGCAAGGAAATTAAAGAACACGGAAATAACAAGAATGTTGGACTGAATTTTGAAGATGTAATCGAAGAATGTAAGCTATTCTACTTTGCAGGCAAGAAACCACAGCAGTTTTACTTGTTTAGACAATGGTCTTATTAAGCAAGTACACTCATTGGCAAGCACGGGCAAGAGAGGAAGTTTTTCGCGTCTTTGGCAAACAAAAACCAGATTTTGATGGGCTAAGTCGCCTTAAGATCGTAAGTGTTATATTATTAATTATCATAATATTAAATTGTCTGATCAAGGCAGGCGCAATATAAATGTAGGTTTAAAGTAAATTATAAGACAATTTTTTAACAAATTAATTACAGAGGTGTCTATTTTTAAGAAAATTACTTTTAATTATTACCCTTAAACTATAAATATATAGTTTTAATTAGGAGCCTCCCCTTAGACCGACCGTGAGTATGACCTTGATACTTGCTATTAATATAAATATTTTATTTTTGGAACAGGTTACCATGATTTTATATGAGGTTCTTAGGTTATACCCACCAGCAGTTATACTTAATCGATCTGTTTCCAAAGATGTGAAACTTGGAAACCTATCATTACCTGAGGGAGTGCAAGTTTCCTTACCAACAATGATAATTCACCGTGATTGTGGACTCTGGGGTGATGATGCTAAAGAGTTCAATCCTGAGAGATTTTATGAAGGAGTTCTAAAAGCAACAAATGGAATGTAATTAATAACAGTTGAATAAGAATTCATAAATTTCAATACATTCTTAATTATTCAATCATTAAAAAAACATTGTGAGAAAGAAATATTATGTTATGCCTATAATTTGATCTTCACATGTAATGTGTAACACCTAAATTTTTACTTTCCAAAATAACAATAGATTTCGCAAAATAGGGAGAATAAACTTTTTTATTTCAATAAAATTCTCATTAAATGTTCTAAATTATGAAAAGGATTACAAGTTCATATCAAATAACTACTACATGACCTATTCAAATACAACAGTTTCAAATAATACTTTAAGTCCTATGGCAGTTCCATCCATCCCTTTTCACTGTGACCGGTGCTGATCGTCTTGATTACCTGAAAAATGAATGTAAAGGTGAGTACTCTACACTACTCGTTATACAAACAATCATAGAGTCTCACCTTGCACTTATTTTACATTATTTCTAACATAATTCATAAAAATACATTCAAAGGCAGCAATACTACTCCATTCAATTTAATTCAAACACTAATGCACTCACGGCATTAAACAGTTTATACACATAAAATTAACAAACAATAATTTCGTGCATTCACTGCACGCCAGCCACACTCACGGTGGCACTGTGATCACAAATTTTTACTATGGATGGTCGCTGGTTACCCCTGTCTCACGGATACCACGTGGGCAGTCATGGGTCGCTCAACAAAATTAGTGGTCAGAAGTCTAGTCAGAAAGAGAGTGTGTGGCCTGTGGCGTACCTGCTCCCACTGTCGGTGTCACCACCACTTCCACTCCCCAAGGTATTTCTACCGTCCTCATCTTCCACACCCCCAGTGTATCGCTGAATCATTTACAGCACGTTATACTGGCATTAATCACACCCCATTCACACACATTGTAATATTCATTCTCAGTATACGACATAAAGCCTACAATCATGCATAATGCACAGCACTAGGCCCTCATTCGTTTTACAGTACACAACACAAAGCCTATATTCATTCATATTACACGGCCCTTAGGCCCACACTTATTCATAATATTCATTCAGCTATAAGGCACAAGCGCCCACATGCATTTACAACATAATTCATTTCAACCACACACAACATTCACCATTGTACAAGGCTCTCGGCCTACACTTATTCACATTACATGGCACACACATTGCCCTTATTTACTCACACATTACTTTCAACATAATTCACCTTTACATTTCTCATTCATCAAGTATTAGCATACCCACACCACATAATCACCCATCATCGGTTTCCACATGCTATCACATCTCACAACACATAGCAAATTTCATCAAATACATATTTTCTACCCTCTATCTCACTCACATTGCAATATTCATCAAAATACACGACAATCTAACCCAAAGAGATAGGGTAGAGCCCCCCTTTACCTTGGATTGAAGACCCATACTCGAATTCAACCACGGAAATGCTCTCCACACGAATTTTGGCCTAAATACATGGAAGAACTCCATGAGAATCCAAGGAAACTGAGAAACAGAAAAAGGGGATGAAAAACAAAAACCGTAACCATTAAAACTCACCTCCAAGCGTTTCCAACACGAATCCAACCTTCAATCATGCTCCTGAACAGCTTTGGAGGCAATTTAATTTGTGGGATATGGTTTTGGGTTAAGAGAATCAAAGAAAATTTGAAGGGAAGGTGAGAAATAACCTTTCCCAAACCCTAACCCCCTTTCAATCCTCTCTGATAGCGACACTCTTGCTACAGCGATTCCCTCCCTCGCTACAGCGAAAAACTCAGACAAAACTGTACTATGATTTCTACAGAATCTCGCTAAAGCGAGACTGCATCCAGAAATACCGTCCAAACTGTCGCTTTGTTGCTACAGCTAGAATCCTCTTGCTGCAGCAAGAAATGCACAGTTTTATGCCTCACGCCCAGGGGCCTCTTGCTACAACGAGAATGCCTTGCAGCAGCATCCATACTTAGCCTGTTTTCAGCCCAATTATACACACACACACACACACATGCACACACATCTATATATATTATATCGACAAACATCATCATTACGCATTCAAATGCAAATTACATCTTTCACATTTACACGTATATATAAACACATATACATATATCAATAATAATTAATATTACAAAATTCGGGGCGTTATATAATGGTTCAAAAATGTTATGCCTCCAAGTAGTTCTCTTTCTTTTTTACTGTCAAAACAACCTTCCTACGTTAAAATCAAGTACCAAATTATAATTATTTCCTCTAATATTTTTTTTTCAAACTACATAGACAAAATTACTATTAAACTGCATTCATTGAAACTCAAGTGTCTATTTAAAATAAGTCATCACTAATTTGATCAACATATTTGGTCGTCAAAATTTAATTGAAGTATTAGTTTAGTCTTCTAAAAACATAATTAATTTACATCATCAAATTTATTCAAACACAAATTATTGCAATGCTAGAAACATCCTCCCTCTAGAAACTCCGAGCTACTTGAATTGGTGCATTTAGATGTTTGTGGTCCTTTGAAAGTAAAATCTTGTAGTAGTGCACTTTATTTTGTCATCTTTATTAATGACTATTTCAGAAAGCTGTAGGTTTATGTTTTAAAGACAAAAGACCAAGTACTGCAAAAGTTCAAGGAGTTTCATGCTTTGGTTGAGAGACAATCAGGTAAGAAATTGAAATGCATTCATACTGACAATGACGATGAGTATTTTGGACCATTTGATGTCTACTACAAGTAGCATGGTATTGCATATGAGAAGACTCCTCCTAAAACTCCTCAATTAAATGGTTTAGTAGAGTGGATGAACAAGACACTGATTGAGAGAGTGAGATGTATGTTTTCTGAAGCTAAGTTGCCCAAACATTTTTGGGGTGAGACACTATAAACAACGGTGCATGGTATGAATCTTAGTTCTACTATTGCATTGAACAAGAGGTAGCAAACAAAATTTGGTTTTGCAAAAATATCGAGTATGATCACTTAAGAGTCTTTGGTTGGAAGGCATTTGTGCATGTTCCAAGGGATAAAAGATCCAAGTTGAATGAAAAATCAAGGCAATGTATCTTTGTTAGAAGTTGTGATGTGAAGTTTATGGAAGACCAAACCATTGAAGACATTGATAAGGTAAAGAAGTCTACACCCAAGGAAGATAATGACATGATTAATATTCATCCAGTTTAGTCACCTACTCAGAATCTGGATAATGATGTTCTTAATGACCAGCAATATGATTATGTTGGTGACCAACAACCTAGAGATGAGGTAAATATTCTTATTAATGATATGATGATGCAGAGAAAAATGAGATGTCACAAGATGAAAATCTTGGTGATGTTCTTGAATCATCTCAAGTTCAACTCAGGAGATCTAATAGGAAAAGACAATCATCAACAAAGTATCTTCCTCATGAGTATGTAATGCCTATAGACAAAGGAGAACCTAAGTACTTTAAAGAGACCATGGAGAGTGATGAAAAACAAAAGTGGCTGGATGCAATGAAGGATGAGATGAATCTTACATGATAATCACACTTTTAATTTGGTGAAGTTACCTAAGGGTATGAAGGCCTTGAATAAAAGGTGGATTTATAGAGTGAAGCATGAAAGTAACTCTATCTCTCTAATGGTTCAGGTTCTAAAAAATGCTAGCAATTCTATAGAAAAAAAAGATGGAGAGAAGGAATCTGAAAAAGAAAAATCTGAAGAGAAAATTCATCTTAAGCAGAAGTTGGTAATAGATGAAGCATACTGGAACAGAACAAAGAAGCAAATCCTAAAAGACTATTTTAAGCCCAAAATCTCACCACCATATATCAAATTGCCTTACTCGAATTTGAACAAAAACAAAAGAAAAGAGGAGTAGTATTCTAAATTTTTAGATATTTTCAAGAAGCTGCAAATCAACATATCATTTACTAAAGCACTAGAGCATATGTCCCTTTTTGCAAAATTCATGAAAGATCTCCCTCCAAGAAGAGACAGTTATAGGAGGATACTACCATTGCATTATCTAAGGAGTGCAGTGCAATTCTGCAAAAAAAGTTGTCTCTTAAATTGTAAGACCAAGGCAATTTTACAATTCATCGCACAATAGGGAATATCACCATAGACAAAGCACTTTATGACTTAGGAGTTAGCATAAACCTCATGTCATTGTCAATACTGAAAAAACTTGGAGTAAATGAGATCAAGAGTACAAGAATGACACTACAACTTACAGATAACTCCATTAAATACTCATATGGCATGATAGAAGACATGCTAGTCAAAGTGGATAAGTTTATTTTTTCAATAGATTTCATCATATTAGATATGGATAAAGATGCTAAGGTGCCATTTATTTTAGGTAGACCCTTTCTGGCTACTAGTCAAGCACTTGTTGATGTGCAATAGAGGCAACTGATGCTACGAGTACGTGATCAGAAAGTCATATTCAATATATTCAAAGCAATGTAGCACCCCGATGATAAAGATACTTGTTTTCTGGTGGACATGATGGACTCACTCTTGGCAGCAGTGAATTTGATGTAGAAATCTTATGCAGACCCCCCTAAAAAAGGTTGTAAATTTAGTTATAAGGAGTGATAAAGAAAGTTATTACGATGTGCAAGAGTGTATATAGTAGCTAGAAGCTCAACCAATTTTGCAGAAAAGTTCAACATGATAATCATTGAATGAAGGAAAAGTTAAAGAATCATTGAGGCTGGAGTTGAAACCTTTGCCCCACACTTAAAATATGCTTTTTTTTAGGGGAGAAGGAAACATTTATGTTATAAATAACAACACCCTCTCACAATTAGATGAAGAGAAGTTATTAAGAGTATTTAGGGAGCACAAAACAGCCATTGGTTGGTCTAGTGTAGATTTAAAGGAAATTAGTCCAACATTCTGCATGCATAGAATTAAATTAGAAGATAGATTTCCATGTGTGGTGCAGCCACAACGAAGACTTAACCCAACAATGAAAGAGATAGTGAAAAATGAGGTGTTGAAACTT